CGAAAATAGGTTAATTTTTAAATGGGATAAAAAAGTAGCATTTTACGTGCGCAACCACCATCAATAATTCACCACCGGTCAAAACGAGGTTCTGTCGTTAAATAAATGTACACTTTGACCGATATCAGGCAAAGTCAGAAATATTCCAACCTCAAATCTAATTAGACCGCGCCACGTAGCCAGGTAAGTACCTTGCCTACATACAAAGCTCTTAAATTTATTTGTTTGTTTTGTAAATACATTTTCGGTTTAATTAAATTGTATTATGCACAGTTTGTTTATGTATAATAATGTGTTGTCATTAACTATCTTTAATTCTTGTAACGATAATAAGCATAGCAGCTATATATGCTTCTTGCATGAAAATCCTTACTATGAAAGTAAGTTTGTTATCTTCGTTATGAAATTTGAGAAGGACATAGACTAGTTTTATCCCGGTCAATCAACTTTTATCTGTCATATAGATGACGGTCAAAGCCACGGACATAAACTAGCTTATAATAATGTTATTTTACGACAAACAAAATGATTTATTTTATTTTTATTTATTTAGTTTATTGTTTATCACCTTTAGCTCAACGAAAATTTAGCATACTTAATTAGGCCTTGCAAACCCGCAAAATACAACTAGTAAACGATCTGCATATGAAATTTAAACTACATACATACATTATTCTTGATTCCACATTATTACACTCCAATAATTCGATATATGAAAATTAAGGAGGTAAATTATTATCAGTTGTCTAAAAGAACGATTTATACGCGATAACAACAGAGTTATTGAAATATATGTCCCCAAAGACAATACTCGAATACTCAATACAAATAGAACGGAATGAAACACTAGCCCAATAGAAATAAAGTTCATTTTACATTGATCATACAGCGAATGAAAAAACTCCAAAAATAGATGTAACGGTAATATACAAATAAAACGTAAAGCAAAATAGGAATGAATCGTTTCACAATGAAACATAAATCCAGTAAATGGCATTTGCATGCAGAAATGGGGCTATTCGTTCTAGTATTGATTTGGGGGACATTAGTGAATATAAATTATGATAGCGTTTTGCAGAACTGAATTAACGTAAAAGAAGATCTAAAGAATTCAATTTATATATTTAATTATAATAATAAATATATCTTATATTCGTCGCCGTATGGTCGCGGCGTGGAAATGGGCCACCCCTTCTTTTCCCGTAGGTATCATAAGAGGTGACTAACTTCGACCAGCTTGGTCGAAAGATAGATACCAGCCACCCTCTTAAAACATGAACAATGGCTAACTGCGGTTGCCAATCCGCCTGCTAAGCATGGCAACTACTAGCAAAATGAGAGGAGGCCTATGTTTAGCAGTGAACAGTTAACGGTCAGCTGTTAAACGTCCACTTATATTCAAATTACACTACATTTTTTGCATACGCCGAAAGATTGTGTTTCAATTAAATCTGAATTCAATTAACTTACACCGATGAGCACTGCTCCCACACAAGTAATAGATAGTGAGTTAGATATATATGTATTATTGTAAATAATTTTATTATGCTTATAGTTAGTTTATAATATTAATAAGATCATCAATACCTACATGTATATATTATTTATTTTAATTCGCATGTAGTCAACATTTAAACATTTACTCGTAATACTCGTAATATAAGTGTTCCATATTTATTACAATATACTTTATACTTATTATTGTTATATTTTAACCAGATATAAATAACTAGAAAGAATACAGTTATCTGGAAGAGATTTCGTCGCCTCAATAAAATCATCTTTTGATTGCTGCATTTTTCTATTTATTATTAAAATTATCTAGAGCTTATTAGTCGATCATACTTATATAGCTGAAAGGATTCAAAGAAATTCATTATACACATAGACCATGTCCCAGGTTAATGCATAAGATAGTGTTCTAGTGGTGTATTATTTCGATTAACAGAGACCAAGAGTCAATAGTGTAAATCTGGCCAACACTAAAAGTCGATAAATGAGTCGGAAAATTAAACTTTTCAGTGAAAAAAATCGTCTGAGTGAAAGCGGTAGACTCGCCCCTTTCCACGTTGAATTTTAATATACTCGAACAAACTTGGGCATTTTGAGTATTATATCTACCACAACGACAATAGCGAGCTTCTAACTAAATCAGATTACAGACAAGCATTTTTTTTTATTTACTTTATTTTTAATGTTTTTTTTACGCGAGCAATGCATAATACAACTGGACATTACGAATTTGAAATCAATAACAAATCATCGTACACTTCATCCTATTGTATATCATTGACGGCGAAAGGGATGCGTGACGCATCCCATACAAAATATTTTATTCATGACACCTCATCGTTCATACGTGCAATAACAGTTTCTGTTCTGTACCAATGGAGGGAAAGCGAGAAATAAATCCAATTTGTACCGGCATATATCATGGTCAGAGTGTACCTCACGATTTATTCACAATATCGCAATGTCTGTCTGTATATCGTGTAACTGGCATTGGGCCCACTTCAATCCAATCTCGACAGCGTTGAAATGTATATGTCTATGCATGTATCTGTTATACTTTATAATCTACTGTTGCTATGTGCTTTTCAGTTTGATGTTATAATACCTACTGTTATCAAAAGTTAGTATACAGCCAATGATGTCTTAATCATTAGTATTCTTCTAAAAATTTAAATTGTGTTCCACAAAAAAAAACCTACTTCGATTGTGGCAAAACGAAATATTTTGATTTCAAATCTAAACTATTAAACTTTTTTTAATAAAATATCTGTAGGATCAATCTCTAAGTATATCCTTACAAATAAAAAATATCCAAATCGGTTTATAACTGACGATTGAAAAAGTATTCTATCAATGAAATTTAATATAATATATACATATATTAGTAAACGACAAAAAAAAATCTGCCTCCAATACTGAATAACTTATCTCGCTGAGCTATTATGAGAGGCTCAAATTTATTAGTCGTTTTCCAATGTTTATTTGGGGAAAATGTTCTTTCAGTTAATATTTTTAATGAGAGTTAAACAACTCTCGCTAGTTTTGTATCATGCTATATTTCATTCGGTCGATCATTTTAGCCGTTAATTCGTCAAGTCTGGGAAATAAATAATAATTTGCAAAAACTCGTCTTTTAAAAAAACTGATTTTAAGCTATATTTTGTCAAAGATCGAGGAATTTATTATATGTTTTTCAACTTTACTATAATTTAAACTTAAGAAATTAGTCAAAAAGGAATTGTAAAAATGTATTATTATCAATTTGTTCTCGATACAATACATAACAATAAATTCTCTCTTCCTATTTGGCTCTAAACATATCAACTATGTCCTCAGGGCAATAATACGTGAGAGATTGTATAAACAACACAATTTGTACATTTTATTAATATTTGTCTTTGTAAACAATGGCTAGTATTTTGCATCAAATAGCCCAACTATTACGTCCCGTCAAACTCAACCATAATTTATTATATGTACCTACCATACGAATCTAAAATAGCTATTAATAATATTATATTAAAAAATAATGAAACTAATACAACTAGGTACTGAATACATTTTGAAAAGATTTTTATATATGTATATATTATTATATATAAATAGATATATAATTACTAGCTTTTAACTGCAACTTTAGTCACATTACTGGGATATATATTCATTGACTGAAATAAAAACTAGCTTATGTCCTTTTCCATCCCATATAGTAGGTGCATGTAAGTAATGATTGATTAAGCAGTTAAAGCTATAAGAGATAACTAATACTAACTATACCCTGCGGTTTAATCTACGTAATTAAGTATCCTATATCTTAAATTACTGCAAAACCTATTCGTGTACCAAAACTAAAACTACCGAACCAATTTGAATTTAGCGTGAAGGAGCAACAAACATCCATCTATACGTATACATACTTGTACATCAGTACACCTTTCAGCAATTTTTCGCATTTTTAATAGTGGTAAGATTCTTTTATCTTAAACTCTTTACGGCTTTAGAACGCGCTCCCTGATACTATAAAGAGACTTCCGACTATACCGTCTTTAAAAAAAGCGTTTATGCTCGTGTACAATATAGTGTATGTATGTAGTGTATAGTTTATGTTATATATGTGTAAGTATATTTGTCATTTAGTATATGTATATATCATATAGTACTAGTACCGCATTCGTGTATTCTGACACTTCCCTAAAGTTGACTGGAAAAGAATGTTTTAGCATTAAGTCCGCTTTATATACATACATGTACTAATGAATAAATAAATAAATAAGAATAAAAAAATATTACTTTGGAATTCTTATAAAGTCCTTATTGCCGTTCGTCGCGGCGCGTCATTTCAATTTTCCAAACCACGAACTATAAAAAGATAAATCAACAAGGCTTGTTTATACTAAAAGTGTTATTTAAAGGTAACAACACAGTGAACAACCTATAAACACTGCGATGTATAAATTTCAGATTTACATCCAATATTTCAACGGGGATATCGTGAAATTCACAGATCATGGCTGCAGTTTCTCCAATTTATGTTGGTAGGTTTTGTAACTACATAAAATATACTTACTAAATATTTTAATGTTCATCATCATCATCTCAGCCATTATTTCTCCACTACTAAGCATAAGCCTCCCCTACAGACTGTCATAAGGAACAATCCTGAGCCAACCTGCATCCACTGACTCCCTGCAATGCATTTGAGGTCGTTACTCCATATAGTAGGGGATCATTTTATACTACGTCTGTCCATATAGATTCGCCATCAAGAACCTTTCTTCCTCGATTGTAGGTTCTTCGAGCTATCTAATCATCCCATTGCTACTTCATCTTGCTTTTCTTTCGGGCTATGACAGTTACTTTAGTTCTTTGAGATTTTAAGCCTTTTATATCTTATCGTTTTAGATTAGGATTATAATTATAATCCTAAACAAATTTCACAATGAGTGGTTAAGTCATTAAGGCAATACGAAGTAACAAATAAAACAAACTTACTTTTGCTTTTATAATATTAGTAAGTAATACATATCATACGTCAGGATCAAGAAATTGTAAAAATATAAAGTTAAAAGTTCCACGTTAACTTTTTATTTTCTCATTAAACAGTTTCCCTAAAAGAGCGCTCCCCGGTGCATTATATTTCTGACAGAAAGGTTGCTTCTCCATTTCTTTAATCCACGCAACTGTTTTCGGGTACCTAAAATAATATAAGATAATATATTTAAAAAATATAATCTTTTTCTTTTTCTTTACATATAATAAAATCGTAACAAACTCAAAACTGTAAAATTGTACATTAAATATTATTAGAAAAAATAGTTTATGGGTACAAAAGTATTCTAAATTATGATATCTCTGTTTATCCTGGTCCGGACCACGCCGTCCACGCTTAACGACGGCGTCGCATGAGTAACGCTTGACAGTTGTTGCAATATCAATTACGTTGCAATAACAAATATATTATATGCATTTGCCCGCGGCTCCGCTCGCTCCTAAACAAACTTTCATTCCCTATTTCACCCTTTTAGGAATAAATTCCTTTATACCAAGAAACACAAATTTAAAAATTCACGATAAAATTAAAGATAGAACATTTTCTAAACTAACGAAATTACATAAAATTTCAATCCCCGTTTTACTCCGTTAGGTGTCAAATAAGCAGTTTCGGCTGTGCGTCTGTGTATGTGTATCTGTCAGACAACCAGTCACAAAGTCCTCTTTTATATACAATATGAAGAAAATGTCATTTATAAAAAAAAACAACTACGTCTTAATCATGACTATAAGCATAAAAAAAAATATTAAATATAAGTTACAGAAATGGGATTAAATTTAAGATTTAAATTTTAAAGTAAAACATGTCGTATGTACATTTAGATGTGTTGCAGTTTGCCTATCAAGTGTTTTTGTAAAATCTTCATGTCAAAATAATATTCTTATTGTTTCTCTTCTATTTTTAATGTTCTATTTTATATCCCGTTTCCTCACAATATCTATATCACACCTGTTAGTTACTTCCTATATTAGACGCTTCTATCAGCTATGCGTTACTGAAGACAACCAAAGCGCGCGTTTCACTTGCACGGATCAAATTAATTTATTACAAAGGTATAATTTTATGCATTATTTAAATAAATTAGATAATAATATACACTGACATACATTTATGTTACAATTAAGGAATGCTCATTTAAATAAAAATAAAATGATTATGAATAAAATACGAAATAATGAATTCTTATTTTTAATTAACGAACCAAAATATATGCAATTATCTGATACAGTTATGCATATATTTTCACTTTTAATCATCTCTAATTGATACATTTATAATTCTATATTTCCAAAATTACAAGCAAATTAAAAATAGAGCAGCTTATATTTGGCCTAGTCATATCTATGTATTATTATATTAATGGTACCAAATTTAAATCTAAAACAAATATTTGAATATTTGTTTTAGATTTAAATTGCTTATAAATGCTTATAAATTTATATATAGTCAACTTTTATATTCCGAATTCGAAATACATGAAAAATGTCTCGCGCATTTAATAGTTCGTAAACAACTTAATAATAGTACAATACAAACATAATATTAAATTTGTAAAACTATATAAATAATTACGTATGTACCTATTATTACTTTTCACAAGAAGCGGTATCTAAAACTCCTAACGTTTATAATTTAATCCCTAAACTAAAGTATCAAACATCACACTTATTGATAAATAATTGATAAGTAGTTGAACTCTCTACCCTAAAAGTTAAGGTTGTCATCGTAGATGTGCAAAGAAAATTTAAGATAGGGACTTACTTTTTACTGTCGTGAGGGTGAACGTACAGGAGTGATGTCACTGTAGATATGGCGGCAATATCAGCGATAGTCATATGATCACCGGCCAAGAACTTACTACGGGACAGAAACTCCTCTAGGAAACCATACGCTTCTTCAATATCATCGTAAAGTCTTTGTGGCACTATCTTCATTCCTTCTATCAAAACGTAATACTGAAATCACAAGTAAAAGTAATAATTTTTTGCCAAATTATTTTTTGCTTTACCTTATCTTTTTTTTACTTTCTTATAGGACGAATATTAATTATTTTTTAAGCGATTTTATAAATTAAAAAGAATGTTATTAACATTAAAAAATAACAATCGAATTTTAAACTTTTTTTTATTTGGAGACTGTAGAGATTAAACTTTTTATCGACAAATGTCTTTTACCATAATGCAATTTCACGATTACAATAGATTCATTTTTTTATAAACAGCAGTAATTTCTCAAGGCAGTGAAATACGGGGCAATGTATTTTATTTTACTTTGAAAGGTGACAGTGAGATTAAAGGATATGGAGGTTATACCTAATACTTTTGTTCTAAGAAATGGCAATGCATCAGTATTAACAAAAATATATTCTGTTAAGTTTATGGCGCTGTTCAAGTCTAAATGATAGCTAATCCTTGGGCAGAGGGATTGTTAGTAATGGGGAGGTTAGTCCCCATTGCTATCAATATATTCTATCTGGTCGACCTCCACGCGGTTACCCCTGGAAACCATCGTGACGAAATTAGCGATAAATTCGTCACGATGGACTAAATAATCTGCCTTTTCACTCTCCCCAATCATCCCTCACTGGTGCTCTGCTAGTGTATACAGACAGCGTACCATTTCATTATCATCCACTAAAAAAACAGCTTCTTCTTTCTATAGGTATTTCTTGAATTTTTTTTTACTTTATATGACACATATCTATTTCTATAGATATGTGTCATATAAAGATCGTAAGTTTATCCCATTGAACAACAATCGTTTAATTTCATAATAATAAGAAAGTTCTTCACACTACGAATATGATAATATTATTAAATATAGGTTACTTACCGTTATGTTACGTAATCTATGGAATAAGGTTGAATTACTGAAGAAAAGCTTTTGATTTACCATCGCCCTTTGTTTTATATCTTTTGGATACAGCGAATCATCTTTTCCATAAACATCTGTCAGATACATCAATATAGCATGGCTGTAATATTTATTATTATGTAGGTATATTTAAAATGTACATTGTACTAACATAAAAACTGACACGTTTACTAAACTTCATGTCGAATCCTCTCCAGAAATTTGTTCGCGTATTTATAAGACTTTAATGAACACTAAAATACAGTATACAGGATTATATGACTGTATTCATTATGATAAGCTAACTAACCTCAATTCATCTTCATTTATCAATTCTTACTGGATACTAGTATATATCGTATCGTCGTAAACCAATAGGTAATGAAGGCATGTTACCATTCCATTCTCAGTCATTAGAAGAAACTTTAGTTTGATTCACACTTGTGTATTCATTGACTATATAAGTACTAGAAATATGTATTAACTATAATTAAAGTTACCTGCAACATACCTGTCACTTATAATGAGGTCGCCATCTTCTAATACCGGTACGGTATGAAGCGGGTTCATCTAGAATTGAAATAAGAATTTATGTGTATAGCTAATAAATATATTCGCGTGTTAATCAAGTTAGAATACAATATCACTTCCCTTTATTCCCAGGATACATACCAATATATATAATACTAGTTATTACACGCGACTTCGCTCGCGATATCAGTATATTATATTGATTACCCAGGAAAATTACCTTGTCTTTCTCCATTTCAAATACTACGTGTATAACCAATTTCGTGAAAATTAGTTGAAAGTTTATGCTATAAAAAAATTAGCAAAGAAACAGATTCACTAATTAATAAATATGTGTAATAATCGAGGCTTTCAATTCGGTTGTATTGTTTTTTAATATATTACATCAAAATTTCGTAATAAACCAATTCTAAATATTCTTTTTTTATTTGTAAAGCCATTTTTTAAGTTTGGGTCCATAGAAATTTCATCAAAATAGGTTCTATAGTTACGATTGAAGTCAATTTTATTTGTGGAACAAAATTTACTTGTTTTACACACCAGATCACCGATGCAAGACAATTAAAATCCGAAATGAAAGACTATAATAATCTACCTGACCAGAATGGGAACTGAAAGGTAAACTTAATACTATCCTAATAATAATATAGAGAGAACCTACTACGTAGGCTCATCCGTCAATTTACAATGTACAAATAGACCCAAAAAGTAATCCACAATTTTTCGAAATACTTTAAAACCATTACCTTCAAATATTGCGGTGTTTTATGTTCTTGCTCTATAAGATTTACATCTATCATTTCAGCTGTAATGCCGTGCACTTCACAGGCCATCATAACAGAGCGTGCCGGTGGACTCAAATCCATTTTGTATATTTTTATCGGCATCTAAAAAAAATTTAATTATAAAAAAATCATTAATACTATCAAAAGGTAAAATTTAAAACAGATTTGTTAATTGGGATATTTAGTGGACACATATTTATGACCTCTGTGTCTCAATGGTAAAAAAAAGGTGCATTGATTAAAGGTTTAATCAGGTTCAATCGATCGATGCAATTTAGTGAACCTTTCTAAATATTCTCCACTAGTTAAAACTTTAAAATAAAAAAAAAATACTATATTATATTAAAAATATCATATAGTTTTTTTGTCATAAGAAAAAAGTAAGTGCATTATGTACCAATGCACATTCTTATCCCATAAAAGATTTATACTGTTAGACCTTTGAATACAGGAAAAGACAAAAATAAAACTTTCCGTATGGTAACGGGATAATAATTCAATGCGTTACTGTTTCTTTTCATCCCCAGGAGTATCCCAAAATAGGCGTATTTAAAGAGTGGAAATTTGAGCGAAGCTTTCTGCTGCACGTAAATTTCAGACCCCCCCCCACACTATAAATAATCATAAATAACTTTATAATAATTGAAACATGATTTTTATATTTTAATATTTGTTTTTATACAACTTAGAATGGCAAACAAGCTGACGGCCCAACTGATGGAAAGTGGTAACCGTCGCCTATAGACATGAGCAATACCATGGACATAACAGAGTATACTGTTTCGCCCATGATACCCCCCATGCGTTGCCATTCCTGAGGACTCATGTGTTATTCCTCTGTACCCAGTAAATTCACGCCATATCCCACCCTTCAAACCGAAACACAGCTATGCAAACACAACTGCTTCACGGTTGAAACACGAATGGGACAGAGATCTATCTTATCTTATAAATATAATAAAATTGTAAGTAGACGATATCTGTACATAAAAGGTGTTTAAGAAAAATTTATATGAAAGATCTTAATGCAAGCAATAGAAACCACAACAATCATTTTTCTAAGCTTTGTCTGTCTGTTTGTAAGTTTATTTTGGCAGCACATAAAAATATTGCACCTATTGGACACGGTTTTCATAATTGTGCCCTTGAAAGTTCAAATTAAAATTTGTTATTATTTTATCCTGATACGCTATCTAGAAGTGTTCTAATTTCATTGGTTTTTCTACTCCTGAAGTTCACGCATATAAAGTAGCGGTCAAAAAGCTAGCCTAAAAACCAATAATCTCGAGGATGTCGTAAAAGATGACTAGGAACCAAGCACAGTACATTAGTGAACTATGACTTAGTTAAAAATAAGTAATTGCATGATTATTATGAAAAACAGATAATACTATAATAGTATACACCAACTAAAGTATCTATAAAAAAATATCTAAATTACTGACTTACAAACTGGAAATAACTACTTGTAAGCAATTAGTGCTTCTGCTGACTCATATTCAAATTCAGCCGAATTGATACTAAAGATTTCTCAATTATAGTGTGTATTCGTAGTTATATTTAGTCACATGTACCTACTTATCATCGTTCACAATCTTAGCTGTTTATTATACATTGCTGAATTTACATTCATGCTTGCTCTATGGCATATAATACCCATATATAAACCGTTAAAAGAAACAGTTCCAAACCATCTTTTCACTCCTTGTAATACATATATAACGGCTTTCATCTATTTGGGAAGTCGTTCTACACCACGTTTGCTTGTAAGGACTTAACACTCAATAACATTTTTTCCACAACAATTCTCGGTTCTTCAAGCTACATATAAAAAGAGCAAATAAGGAACAGTAATTCGCATTTCCATCAATTTGTTGTCAATAATTATTTGTCTACGTGCATAAAATTGGTTCGTCGGTGGTCCCGGCATAGAATGGGCGACCCTTAACTTTCCCGTAGGTATCGTAGAGGGGACTAAGTGAACTTAATTGTCCAGGGATGAATAACAGCGTCCTTCTTTAAACATCACCATAACTTAACTGCGGTTACCTACCCTCTTGCCAAGCATGGTAACTGGGCAAATCTTCCGCTTATGGGGGAGGCCTATGTTCAGCAGCGCACAATTAACGGTTGATATGGTATGATATGGTACATAAAATTATGTAGATAAATTACATACATAATATTCATAATTACCCAAACTCTAATGTTGTTAATAAGTTAGAAGCCTTCGATAAACGAATGAATAATAGACAGTTTTACCCTTCCAAGTTATTAAAATTCTACAATATGTGATTTAATGCCATATCATCATATCAGCATTTAGCTGCCCACTACGGAACATAAGCCTCCCCCTTGGGGGTTTTGCCAGTAGTTGCCATGCTTGGCAGACGGATTGGCAACCACAGTTAAGCTTTGTAGATGTTTAATGAGAGACGGTGCTGCCCATCCCTCCCCTTAAAGATGCTTAAATCTATACTTTGATAATCGAGGAAATTATTTAAGATTACAGTGTCTACGGTTGTAAAACTTACCTTTATATGGGATTAATAATTTAGAATCAAAACCACAAAAGCACAGAACACCTTTTTCAATGAGTGACAAGAGCCAACTGAGATGATAGTGACTGTTTTGAAACGTTATTACTTTTTGACCTTGTTGTGAGCTATTATCTAACAAAGATAAATACATACTTGAAGTAATGATAACTTATAAATACAAATAATGTCAACAGGGTAACGAACCGTGATCAGTTAAAATTGGACTCCAGAAATAAATGACACTATAATTTGTTTATAATTCCAATTAATTATTTATGAATAATTTAATAATACTGAAAAAGACACAAGATTCTTGGAATAACAATAAAATATATTCAAACAAATGGTAACATATTAAAAAAAACTGATCTCGTGCAATTTCAACATTTCATCTTTGAATAAACAAAAAAAATTGTCGACATACCTAATTCCAAAGTTGAGATTTTAAAGAGCACTTTTTGATTTGGTTAACCTACTCGGTTTCCTCCTTAAAATATCAATTATTGTAACAAAAACACCTGATTTAAACACTTGTTAATAAATATTAACCGATCAAAAACTATTGAGATTTATATAAGATACTATAAATATACCATAGATATCACAAAATTACGTATAAGTACAACTTTATTTGTATTTATAATAACCTAAGAGATTCACATAATGTTACATATATATGTATGCAGATATAGTTGACCTATATTAATTTAACCTATGTTTAGTTAGGTAATTCTGCAATGCAACGTAATATTCCCTACGAACTCCTAGGACGTTTGCATATAGCATTGTATTAGACAGTGTTATAAACTTTGATAGCTTCGCTAGCTCGCACGCAGGCACAATGCTTAAAGTTGGGCGTAGTGACTAGCGACGCAATCTCGAAAACACGACAAACAGTCTCAAATAATACCTTCTGCCCTCTGAAATTGTCTTTGTTGAAAGTAGTTCGCGTGAAATATAATTATATGAACATGTACCTAATACTAACCTGCAGAGAAAAAAATATGGCAAAGTTCCTACATCGTTAACTTTCATACTCACAGTTTTTACAGCATCAACGAAGATTACTCTAAATCTCTCTCTCTCAGTCTTTGCTTGCCCACAACAAAATATCCATTACATTACTTCTCCAGCTTCAGCCACTTAACCTAGTTTTTACTGCTACATGCACAATATCATATCTTCATCAATTATCTTTTTGTACCTCTTTTATGATTTTTTACCCCCACTCCAAAACCTTACAGTCCTATTGTCTAATTAAAAACATATCCAAACATCATGAAGAGTATCTTCAGCAATAAATTATTTAAGATTTATTTATTTATTTATTTATTTATTTAGGTTTACCAACAATTGTTTCCACAAAATAATGTAAATATATATACAATTATGGAGCTTAGAACTAAGTGTAACAATTTTTTATAGGCAAACACAGCATATATTAATAAATGTATAACAATAAGTACAGAGAAATATATATAGCTTACAACTATTATTAAATACTTAACAACTAACAACTAAAGCCACCATATCCATAAGCAGATCCAGCAGCACGACTCATTTTATATATTTATAGATATTTCGTACAAAAACAATTGGAGTATCAAAATTAATATCGACCTGGTCACTGCAGCTATTTATAATCTTACAGAACCTTACCATTGGAGAATTACTACCCAGAACAGTTCTTCTAAATGGAGGTATTAGCGGAGTTATAGGTCCACGAGGTAATCTAGAAGGGACTCGCAATTTTACAAGGCTTAATAACTGAGGACAATGTAATTTATATGTTATAAGTTTATACATAAATATGGCGTCAGAGACTTTCCTGCGTTTTTCTAATAAGATCATTCTAAAGTACTGCAGCCTGGCCTTGTAGGATTTAATTTTTTTGGCAATGCCAGTGGAAAATGCCAAGTGCCATAGGAATCGCTTCTGGATACGTTCGATACGCAATATATGTGTAGCAAAATGTGGGCGCCAAACCACGCTGCAATACTCCAAGACACTCCGCACCAGGCTATTATAAAGTATAATTTTAATGTTACTATTATGAAATACTTTACAGGTTTTTATAACAAAACCAAGCATCCTTGAAGCTTTATTAATAATGTTATTTAGGTGAGGAACAAACGTTAATTGTTGGTCGTATAATACACCTAGATCACGCATACTTCTACTCTCTTCAAATATTTCATTTTTGATTCGGTATTGTGAATATATTAAATTATGCTTTCTACTAAATTTTATTATACGACATTTTTTAGGGTTCAAATTCATGTTATTGATATCACACCAACTAATAAGCCTATCAAGATCACTTTGTAGGAGCGTAACATCGTTATAGGATTTAATAATTCTAGCAAATTTTAAGTCGTCTGCGTACATAAATATTGTGAGAAAAGAAAACACTCAAGGATATCATTTACAAAAAGATTAAAAAGAATCGGTCCCAGGTGAGATCCCTGGGGTACTCCAGATGTAATTTTACAAGATGCCGATTGAAACCCATTTACTACTACAAAGAAAGTCCTTTCCATTAAATATGAAGCCATCAATCTAATAAAGATCCTCCATAGGCGCGCAGTTTATAAATAATAATTTTGTGAGACACCTTATCGAAAGCTTTGCAAAAGTCTGTGTATATAACATCAATCTGCTCTCCAGCATCAATTGCTCCTATTAGAAAGTGAACGATGCCAAGTTTGTACTTGTAGACCGCGAACCAGTAAAACCATGTTGACAATTACTCAGATATAAGGCAAGATGATTCTGCAGATGAGTGCAAATAATTGATTCGAAAATTTTACTAAACCAAGATAGAATGGAAATTGGCCGATAGTTGCCTACCGCGTCATCCTCTCCCGATTTATGTATTGGAACTACTTTTGCCATCTTCCATTTTGTAGGGAAAACTCCTGTAGTAAGATATTTACTATAAATCAACATAAGTGGGTACACTAACTCGCGTGCGCATTCTTTGATAAATAAGGGTGGTATTTCATCTGGTCCCATTCCCTTGTTGCAGTCAATGTTCAATAACTTTTTAAGTAAGATATCATATTCAATGGTTGGAAGTATCATGCATTGACTATTGGTTTCTAAATTGTACAAGAAGCTGGAATTATGTTTGTGTTCATTTATATCATCTAAATCATACACGGAGGAGAAATAAGAAGCGAACAACTCGCATATTTGCCCTGGATCAGATGTAGTATAAGAACCATCCGTCATATTGGCTGGATATATACTGGATCCGCCACGCTTAGCCTTAACATAAGTCCAAAATAATTTTGGATTACTGGTTAGATTACTCTCTATATTCTGTGTGTAATTACGATAACAATATTTAATTAATTTTTCGCTTCGTTTTGCCACAATTTTTAACTCTATCGCGTCTAAAAGATTTTTATATTTATTATAACGTTCTCTCAATTTGTTTTTTTCTTTTAACATTTTTATCAGATTACGGTTAAACCATGGTGGAAACCTATTATTCTTATATTTGCGTAAAGGTACACAATTTGTTATAGTTGAATTTAAAATCTCATAAAATACATCAACCATTTCATTTACAGTATCCTCAACTCCAAACAGTTCATCCCAATTTATTGATTTTAACTGTTCCCGATTATGTCATAGTTAGCCTTGTAATAATTTAGTCTCTTTGCATCGGTATTATATGGCAGTTTAAAATCACCACCCATTACAACATTAATATCAAGAGGAGGGTGAAGCTGATCAACAACACATAGAATTATTTTGTTGTTGATTAGATTAATTTGTTATAAAACACTAGTACTTTCATTAACCGTAAAAGTTTGAAGGGTTGAGAAAACGAGATCAAGGGTACGACCAGCAGGGTTAGTAACATAATTGTGCTGCTGTAATAAATTTACACATGTAAAATCTATCAAAATTTCACTTGTGCTGGATCCATTATTTTGAGTGGTATCATGAGTAGAGAATACGGTCCTCCAGTCAATGTTACCCATATTAAAGTCTCCCACGACACATATTTCTGAATTAGTAATCTGTTCAAAAGTAGCATTACAATTATTAACAAATAACTCCATAGCAGACCTGCTGACTGGAGGAGGAAGGTATACAGCACATGATATATATTGAATAAAATAGAAATATTTTTTATACAAATAGTAAAAAACACAAGTGGCACCCGTTCACAAATATGACGAATTTGCGCTCAATCATGTTTTAGGGAGCTCAACGATATGGCCCACTATGCCGCTTTATGATGGTGACGATTACTTAATAGGCATATATTGTGTGCTGAATTAATATAAAATTCTATTGAAAAGGTATTCACATTCAAGTACTACTAAATATATACTAATAATAATATAAGTTGGGCCTTACGTTCAACACAAAAAAGTCTATTAATATAGCTCTGATCACCGCACCTGAAATTACAGTCGTGAGGTCTCTATATACATAAATACTTCAATCAAACTGTACGGATAACTGTGTAAATAAATCTCCCTATCTTTCCTTTATATTTACATAAATAAGGTTTATATTCTTTTTTTCCAGAATTTCTAACCTGTTTGATCTAACTTAAACCCATACAAATTTATTCCGTTATACTTAAGGGTATAACTTAAGGGTATAACGTATCCTATTTACTGAAGACGAGGCCAACATAAAACTTGTGCGGGGTTAATAGTAAACACCGTAGAAAGATCGGGGTCTTGCAGTCGCCGATATAAATTTTATAATGGAAATGGCATATTCATAATATTGTACAGATTTTTTTTGTTGTATCCTTAAATCAATGTTTATTTGACAAAAAAGAGACTTTAATGAAATGTTAACAATCTAGCTGTATACTATTTGTTCGTCTAGGGCAGGTCTGTACAAACTAGCTAAGATTTAGGGCCAATAACAATGACTAAATTCATTGGGGGGCTGCAAAATATTTGTAAAAACAAAATACTCTAGTAGGCTCGAAAATAGTGACAAAATTTTTTATATTGTATAATCATAATACGAATTTGGAAAATTTGTGTTGGAATTTAGATTCACTGACTACAGTCAGGAAAGTCCAACTATGGTATCACCTCTGCTTCAAATGATAAAATATTACATTGTCATTGTTTGAAGTTACCACAGCTTTTCTCGCGTATATCAGTGTATAGAGTATACTGTACATATAATATAAATAATATTGCAAATATAATGTAAATATAAAACAACCAAACAGCTTTACAAACCTTCATATTCATAATATTAGTAGGTAGGAGAAATGAAACACATCCAGCACAAAAGTATCGGTGGCAGTTCGTGTTGTTAGCAAACTTCCCAAGACAAATAGAATATAAAGCAGAAGCTCGCGTGTGCGCAGCTTATCAATCATCCGAAATGATGTGTTCGCACTGCCCCTAAAGTATTCAAATAATTTACTGGATGAGTTCTTTCGTATTCGTTTATTCTTTACGTTCTCATTCGAAGTTAAGTAATCGCTATAGATTCTACCATTAGATTTTCATAGACACTGAAATACTTTTAGGCGAATTTAAACCTAAATTCAATGTATTTTTGTGCATATTACATGATATTAACAAAAATCTTAAACCATTGTTTATAATTATATTTGTATACGATAAGTTCTATTCCCATGTTAGTTTCATGCCTATAACGGGCCCACATCGCTTCAAATCGAACTATGCAACAAGTTTATTGAATTCAAAAATTTTTTACTGTAAAAAAGGTCTTTTATGTCACCTATCAATGTATTCAACAACAGAATATTATAAATAGTTATATAATCTACGATTCCAAATATAAATAAATTTCGCTACAAAACCTGAACGGCTATTGGCTTCAAATATACATAAATTATAAATTTTTATGTCATGTCATTTTTGTTGTAAATATATGTTTTTTTTTGTCGTAGGCCTGTTTTGCGACCGATATTCTAGTTCTACTATCCAATGTGCACCTAGCGTCCTCTCTGATTATACTTCCTAAATACCTAAAGTTCTTAACATTTTGAATAGGCATGTTATTTACCTTTATTTAACTTTGAGTTTGCAGTTTAATTGGCTTTTTAGAAGTACTGAGTATTTTGGTTTTATTTGTGTTAATTTTGAGTGACATTTCCTTAAAAATTGTATCCATAAAATTTTATAATATTTCTAAACTTTTACGTATTTCTGCTATTACTGCTATATCATTGGCGAATCTAATAAATTTAATTACTTACTCATTGAACTGGACACCTTTATCTGTATGTTCTGAAAATTTTCTTATAGCTGTCTCTATAAATATAACTGATGGTTTATTAGATACAAATCTTTAAATGTGCCTTTAAAGAAACAGTTTACCTGAACAGTATATTGTCTTAGATTATCTAATACATGTTTTCATTAAAATTCAAAGTGCTATTAAGAAACTTTTTTGTCCAGGCATGGTCCCCTAGCCGATGGAGAGCACCTAGCAATCATCGCTATAGTAGGTAGGTAGGTACATAGGTGACGGTTACCATTTTCCATCAGGTGGGCCGTCAGCTTGTTTGCCATTCTAAGTTGTATAAAAAAAAATCGCAAACACTGCTTAATAGTTAATTCAGCCTTGTTTACCTATATTTAACTTTTGGTTGACGCAGAGTCGCAGAGGTAAGCTTACAAATTTTATAAACAATTTCTTTTATTTTTTCACCCATAAACAGGACAGGTTAAAGTCGTTTTATATACAAAACAAGCCATTTTTTAATATTGCAAATAATGAAATTAAAAATTCCCAGCTCAAATAATTTTCAGTCTTAGATTATATATATCTAGTATCTCAATACAAATGCTTTGCTAAAACAGGTGAATTTTTTATTACATACTGCGTGAATAGGGTTATCATAATGGTAAATCTTAGTATATTTGTATATTCTGGTATAACAATTCACGCAACAAGAATAAACAAGTACTTTTTCACCGCAAATAATAAACATGAAAATTCCGCCAAAAAACAAACTATTTTAAAAAACCAATACCAGTATCATATAAAGATTCCAATCCCATACATCCAAATTTGTTTAGGCATTTAAAAGTTATAGTGAAATAAAGAAACACAAATACACACATGACTCCTTAAAGTATAACACTTATTTTTTGGGCAATCGTAAAAATTTAACTGTTTTTTGGCAAAGGAGTCGTATTTGTCTGAAGCCAAATTTTAAGATGCTATGTGTATGAGAAAAAATATATACATAAAGTCTTATGATGGTATAAGATTAGAATTTAATTGTTGTAATTATAGCAATTTCTGAGAGAGCACACAAAGATATAATTAAACAACAATTTCACTTGCATTCCTGTTTTGTTCAATACAAACAGATATATCTTTATATTTTATTTCCTCACAGAATTGATATAAAAAAACTTGCACGACAATAGATGTTTATATAAAAAACTTAAGTAAGTAGTAAATATATACAATAATGAAATATATAAAACTTTCATGACAGAAAAAATGTCCATTATACCATTTTTATGAAATTCATAGATTTAGGTTAGTAGGTAAACGCTTAGGTAATCGATTAATTGCTAATCGATATTTTTAGAACCTATTCTACCAGTGTCATGTATAAGAAGCGGGTAACTCTAATTATTATTTTTCTAGAAGTAATATTCAAAGTACACCACAATCATAACGCGTGATGATGTGAAAATTGCGAATTGTCACATCGCGTATTTATATGTATTCAAAGTACAGCTCTACAATTTAAAATATTTTTCAAGGTTCCCGCCATTTTTTAATTCTCTACCTACCTATGATACCGCGTGATACTTGTGTCAATTTTCGTCCATAGATTAAGAATAGTATCGCGTTTTTATCGTAACAATTACAGAGTAAGTAATCCCTAGTTATGTTATAATAACAACATTAATCAAGATAATAAATTCCTGAATTATTCAATAGAAGCAGCATCAACGGTTGCTTACTAACACTTACTTACTACACTTACTTTCCGATAAATATTAAACATTTAAAAATGAAGGATTCACCGGACATGTTATGAAAAAATTTATCAACAAGTTTATTATTTCTATTCTATTCTATGTTGAATCTCGTACATAGATTAAGAATAAAATCTAACATTCTCTTAATGCGTACGTTTTTTTTTTTCAAAAGATGATAATGGAATGGTAACCTCGCCTACGCTATCGGTATATGCTAGCGGGGCATCAGCGAAAGAGAATAAAAGGGCAGGTCAGTTAACCCATCGTAATGAATACTTCTAGAATTCAGCACAATAGTTTCCAAGGGGGACCATATGGAGGTCGAGCTGACAGGGTATATTGCTAGCATTGGGACTGATAGGCCGCATTACTAACAATTCCTTCCTCCCCTTTTTGCGTACGTTAAACAATGAAAATTTTTGCTTATCCTACAAACGACAATGATAGACAAATATCAATGTCAAATTTTATCAAAAATACCGAAAATACACCTATCCCCCGATTTACACGGTAGATACGTTCCTGAGAAAAACGTGTAAATCGAAAATTAAAAATTTTCAAGTAAAAACCGTGTAAATCGAAAGATGTAAATCGCTTGCAGAAAATGCATAATTTTGCTATTTAACAGTTGTGATTTTTTTCAATATTTTTAGGTGTACACAGAAATAAAAATAAAATGCATTAACAGGTTAAAATATGTAATATATTACGGAAACACTGTTTTTTTTTATTTAATTACAATACATTAAACGATCCAAAGCGATCCAAAATTTCGATTTTAGTTTCTAAAGAAATAATTTTTCTTTTAACTTCTTTCGACATTATAAGCCTATAATTTTTTTTTATTTATGTTAATTTATAAAAATCTTAATTATGCACTCACTTGTAATTTACGAATATGAAAAATTAAATCTTTCTGACACTGTGAAACTTTCACTCAAATACAATTTTCCGTAGATAAAACTTTAATTTTATGCGAAGAAATACAGACACAGTGTGCATGTGCAGCAAGTCAGCAATATCAGATGTGTACACAGCGCACGTGTTCAAACACAGTAGCATTTAGTAGAGTGCGATAAAAACAAAAAAAAACTTATTTGGAAAACCGTGTAAAAGCGAAAACGTGTAAAACAAGTACCGTGTAAATCGGGGGATAAGTGTACCTTAAATCTTTAACCAGTGTGTGTTGCCAGCATAGAAATGTTTGTATTTGCCAGTAATAGCCTATAAAATTGAAGATTTGTAATTCCTTATTCGTATAATAGTTATTATATTATAGTAATTATAATATAGAACCTAAACATGATCCTTAATGATTGCCCGTATATAAAAGTTTCAAATTACTCAACGAGCTATGGAGAGGGTTATACTAGGGTTTCTTTGCATGATAGAATCTGAAATGATAATATCCGTAAAAAAAAATTAAAGTAACTGGTCACATAGCACGAAGAACCGCAGCTCATGAGAAAGAAAAGTTTTTAAGTAGTGGTGTACAGGAAAATGCAGTGTAAGATGACCCTCTATTCAATTAAATGACGACCTTAAATGCATTACAGAGAATTCGTGGTTGCTCAGGACTATTACTTATGTTACTACAATTTATAGAGGAAGTCTGTGTTCAGCATTGGACAGATAACGGCTTATAAAAATATCATGATGTATAATTGAATCGATCGAATAATTTACGTCGTAGATAAGTTTTGTTTTTCGTTTTTGAGTTTTTAATAATTTTAAGACAATACAGTATATCATTGACATTGACAGTCGAAAAACTGTCAATGCCATTATTGTCAAATTATAAATTGATATTATTCCAGACAAATTATCTTTTTGAAAACTAGGCAGCATGGTTTCCGACCTTAGCCTGTTCCAAACGGAACAAACGTACTAAAAAAAAAAAAAAAAAAATAAATTGATATTTTGGGAATTCCGAATCAGACTTATCCTACCTATTTTTCTTTTAATATTTTTCCCCTCGTTCTAAAATTTTATTTATATTAATTGATTATATCAATTTCCATAAAATGTCTCATCAGACTGGTATTCAAGGTAAACTAAACAACTATGAATATAGTAAATACAAAAAATATTTCTAAAAATGTTTTGTGAAAATTCTATAAAAAATATATGTTTTAATTGTTACAGCTAATGCAGAACTAAAAAAATATATCGGAAAGTGTCGAGATGGGAAAATTCGGTATATGAAAATTAGCATAGAAAATGGTATGTATAGCATTTTCACACTTAACATTTAATTATGAAATACTAAAATCACATTATCATGTACCTAATAATCACACCTATTTGCTGAGCAAATCTACTCAAGTTATTGGTTAAAACTCAAAAGTTCATCAATGGATGAGGTATATTTATTAATAACGTTGTTATAAACGAGTACCTAATATTCTTATAGTCATCATATTTAAAGTAATTTATTCAAATTAGATTTATATAGATGCTTGTGACACGTCACTTAGTATGTTTTAATTTTCTAAAATTAGAAAATTGAATGCTTAGAAATAATACTTACTCAATGTTAACATTCAGTTATTATTATTATACCTTAATATGATCACCACAATATTATAGAAATTTAATTAGCTAGACTAAAGAATCTTTGTGTTTTACTACATTTAACATAATTAGTAAATAATGTAAGCATATTTTATTGAGTTTAGTTCTTTAAAGCATTAAGGTTGATTAGAACAAGATTATTTTGATAAACCACATATCACTTTACTACACCTCAATTATTATTTACTGTATTCCTTTTGTAACTGGTGCAATAAAGTGTAAACAAATAAAAGGAATAATAATCAATAATATATAAACAGTTTATACAAAATCCTTTTTAATACAGCTTTTTCTTTGTATTATTACTAGAGAAAGACTGTACAAAAGTTGGCGGCTTAGGTAGCTCTGTCTTATTTGTATTTCTGCCTTGAAGCATTGGTATTTGCATTGTTGTGTTTTGGTTTTAAAGATGGGATATGTCTGTGAATATACAGGGTACAAAGGCATAAAACCTTAGTCCTCAAGAATAGCAACACAAGGGGATATCATGGGCAAAACAATCTGTAATCTGTTATGTTCAAGATACTGTTTATGTCTATAGGTGATGGTTACTGTTATGTATGAAAATAATGGGTAATTGATTAAGTCAATTGATGTGGGTACCTGTATTATTGTTATGACAATTAAAATAGTTTTGCTTCCAATCTCAACCAATTTGTATCTTTTAGTTACCACTTTCTATCAAATGGTCTGTCAGTTTGTTTGCCATTCCAAATTGAATAAGAAAAATTATATATTTTACAATGCCAATGAAAAAACAAGTCAATGGAATACAGCACTGTTCACTCCAAAGTCGAGTTTAATTCTGTATAATCTCTTTTATATTTATTAAACCACACAGATGGTGCTCCCCCTTCATACCAGTGATCAATATTGCATGCTAGTTTTAGAAACTTTGGGTTGTCATAAATATCAAAATTTGAATTATATAATATATTATATGTATTTCAGAGGAACTGGCACTGGCTAAATATCACGCCATCAAAGGTTCTTGGGAACAGGATTTTGACAAATATTTGCCATCATTGATTGTTGAAGATCAACCATGTTATATTCTCTTTAGGTAAGTACCACTTGTTAGTCAAATTCATACATAAATAAGTTCCTGACTATAATCTGTAATAGAGTAATTAATAGATATTTGTTGCCATTATTGGAAATGTACAAATAATAGATTTAAAAAAAAAACTTCAATCATGGGAAACCTATTTATTTTTATTTAAAAACTAAACTACCAAACTGATTTTGATAGAATTTCTATGGGACCAATCTGAAAGTATATTTTTTTATATAAGAAAAGAATTTTCCTAATTAGTCTTTAATAAATTGAGAGTTCTGAGGTAATAAAAATACAACCAAATTAAGAAAAAGTCTGTTTTTATTTTTTGAAATTGGTTGATTATTACCAAAAAAGTTGATAAGTATATCCTGAATAATCCAAAATCTTATCCTCACTTCAATGAGTTAGGATAAAATGCAAACACATCTTAAAATAAAAAAGAAAAATACCAATATGGCCATGATTTTATTTATTTTATTTTACAGATTTGATTCAACAAATTCTCTCGGATATGAATGGCTATTGCTCAGTTGGTCTCCTGACAGTGCCCCAGTCCGGCAGAAAATGTTATATGCGTCAACGAAAGCAACACTCAAACAAGAGTTTGGATCCGCACATATTAAAGATGAAATGCATGCCACTGTTAAGGTAATTCAGAATTTCATGTCACTTTTGTCTCATAAATAGATTTACTAATACACATGGTACAAAATAATTAATATTAATTAAGTTCTTAAACCTTAGTTACACCAGTACTGTGTCATTATTTAATAACATTTTTTTTTACATTACCTTTAAGTCCTCTTAATTGTCTTAAAGATAAATTAATTAAACTTGCTCAAATTATAATCAATCTTGTTAATCAATTCTGTGTATTTCTATTCACAGGAGGAGGTATCTCTCAAAGGGTACAAAGCTCACTTAAGTGGTATCAGTGCTCCAGCACCACTCACTGATAGAGAGGAAGCATTGAAAGAACTTCAACAGAGTGAACATAACACCAACTATGGTACTGACTCAAGGTAAATATTATTATTTTTACTCTATAGCGACAGTACTAGAACTACAAGACAGTAGAACTCTGTAGCGACAGTGCTAGGAAGTAACAAATAAACATACACAGTATTTGTTTATATTAGTAAAGATTTCCCTTCTATTGCACTGGTATATTGTGCTTTATGTCCCTAATCACATTCTTACTCTGTCACAGAGAAGGTAAAATTATTTTTTATTACTTTTCAGGCAATCAACAATGGGAGGAGTAGGTTTTCCTATCACAGAAGCTACTGAGCAAGGCATTATTGATTTACAACGAGGTTCCTACAACTATTTACAGTTTAGAATAGGTAAAGTATTTTATTAATCTGTTTATTTTTATTATAATGTGAGGTTTGACCATATAGTCCATGAGTATAATTTATTTGAAAAAAAAGAGAGAATTCTTAATGTTTGATCACATTGTGCTGGCTCATGTAGTGTTTTTTCATACTATTCTTGAAAGATCCGAGGTTGTATAAATACAAACCTGATACAATTTAATTGGTCTTGTAATAAGAAAATTAATTATTTGTATACAATGTTGGATATACATTGTTACCTATATCAGAATAGAGGGAGTACAAATTGTTAAAAATGGAGATTAGCAACCCCAAACTTAGCAATAAGGTCGACCTGATATCCTATCAAGTCAACCTTCGATGGGTTCCCTTTGAAATCAGTTTCGATTATTGATTTATTAATGAATACATCACGATGTATCAACTAATCTGCTCCATCCATACTAGTGCCCTGCCGGTATATGCCAGTAGCGAAGGCAGGATCACCATTCCATTATCATCCATTAAATTTAGTATATATTGGAAATATAAGTGTTGTTTCATGTTTACATATACAAGTAATAATTAAGAGAGTGCTAGCTACATAGCAGCAACTACAAAAGCAGCTACATAAATAAATTAATTAAATAAAAAATATAAATTTTTGTGCTTTACTCAAAAGTCGTTGTCAGTCAACTTTTGTCAAATCACTAGCTAGTGAGTCTGTTACTGGTACCTGCAATTAAAAATTATAAACACAAACTTAGGTATGTTGCTGACATTAATATAATAGTGGCATATAAATCAAGAGAAACTAGAAATTTAAAGTAAAAAAAGGAATTATTTTATGTTACATATTATATAAATAAATTTTTCTATTTGACTTTTTCTAAAATTAAAAAAATGTCATAAAAATTTCAGATTTGGATGAAGAAAAAATTCATCTAGCAAAAGCGGCCAAAATATCTCTTGTTGAATTGCCTCAGCAAGTGCCAAGTGACCAGGCGAGATACCACCTCTATATCTTCACACATACTCACGAAGGAGACCATGTGGAAAGTGTTGGTGAGTAGGCATATTTTTTATGGCCTTGAAAATAAAAAACATTACTATTACATAAATGAAATTAAATGAGTTCAATTTGGAGTAAACAGTTAAAATAACAAAGGCCACATAGTATTAGGTTTAGAACCTGTTTAATTGCCTTGAGCGATCTAGGCATGCAAATATTTAGTATATTACAATTAGATTTTAAAAATTTAATATATATATAGGCATGCATGAACAACAATACGGGCTTAATGTAACTACACTTGACACATATAGATTGACAGATTTTCAGGGTTGTCAACATTCTGTTAAAAAGAGTATTATACTTATTTCTTGATTTCTCGATAAAATTACACGTAAATTAAACCAATAATTATTACATTAAAATACATGGCGTACTTACGATACTTCTAACAATATTTTTTTATTAGAAACATTCAAGCAAACAACAGTATAAAAATTTAATCTCAGCTTCATTAATCCACTAACATTCTACATATTCGTGAATTATTATATATTATTGTTTGTATGTATATTTACATACAAACAATAATATATAAAGAGAACCGGTAAAATGATGCAGATACGTAAGCAATATGTATGAAATATTTAAGTATAGATAAACAGACGACATTGAAAAAAAAATACAAAAAATAGAAATATAAAATAGAAGTTTTTAACGCTCAGCCGCCAACAATAACTTTTAAATAATTAATCTTTTCATATTAATGTTTCAGTATTCATTTATTCAATGCCTGGATATACGTGCAGTATAAAGGAGAGGATGATGTATTCAAGTTGCAAAGGACAATTTTTAGAAATTATCGAAAAAATGGGCATTGAAATAGCAAAACGAGTAAGTTGTTCATAATTGTGTGTTTAGTTGTTTTATTACTTTTTTTATTCACTAGCTTTTACCGCGACTTTGTTCATTGACCAGAATAAAAAGTAGCCTATATCCTTCTACTTCCTGTGTAAGATGTGTATACCAAATTTCATAGTGATTTGTTAAATCGTTAAGGCGATATGATAATGAACTAACTTACTATCACATTTATAATACTATTAAGGATATTGCAATGGTCAAAAACGCAAAATGGTATTCCAAAAAACCCCTGGTATTCCAAACATAAGGCAACCATATACGACTAAAAAGGCCTTATGCTTACATTATTATAATATATATAACAATGTATTTTTACAGTTAGAAATCGACGATGGTAAAGAATTGACTGAAGAATTTCTCTATGACGAGATTCATCCCAAAAGAAACCTTCACAGGCCTGCATTCGCCAAGCCCAAAGGTCCGCCAAACAGAGGCGCCAAGCGTATAACTAAATCACAATCTGCTCAATAGATATAAGGGAAAGTGTATGTATAGATGATTTTTAAATTACGCGCCAGTTATGTTAAGATTAAGACCTGTGCAGAAGATGGAATATTTCTAATATTTCTCTCCCGTTGTAAACTCTTATTTCTTTTAATAGGGTGAAAATGAAATGGTAACCCCGCTTGCACTATCGGTATAAACTGGCAGGGATGGCAAATAAGGACGAAGCCTGGTCAGTCGACCCATTGTGGCTAATTTGCTAGGGAATAACAACGGTGATTTCTAAAGCAAACCGCATGGAAATCTACTTGACAGGTTATATTGCTAGGATTGATGACTCACATCCCCATTATTAACAATCCTTCTCCCTCTCAGAAGTCCCTTTGTACACACATCTATATCCATTTTTCTATATTTGCCATGTTTTGTCAGGCCATGGACACAAATACAAATTTTGTCTCCCACAGACAAAATGGCACTCATCTGTACAGGTCAACTAAACACAGCAATCAGGATGAAATAAAAGTTGTACCATTGGAGATTATATTTTATCCAAGTATATTTTCACAAGATGCATTTGTGCGAGTGTAGACATGATTGTAGATGAATCCAATTGACGATAAATGCAATTTTTTACATATTTATCTAATGCATTACATGGTCTTTATTCTTCCGCTATAACTTCATGATGAGGTACAGAGCAACTTATTAACAACCATACTAATATAAAAAAAAAAACTTTATGACTGCTGTCAAACCCATTCTTTAGGTAGTAGATTAATAGACAATATTACAGTTAAATACAGTGACAATGATTTTAACTATTTATTTTAAACCTGTAAGATGAAATGTCCATTTGCATAAGACTGTGAAATATTTTCACTATTTTTATGTATTATATAGAATTGTAATTTTTTGGTCAACATGTTTTATAAATCATGAATTGATGTAGCTGCATGGTAAAAAGCATATTGTCACCGAGGTTGTGAATAATAATTGGATTATTATTAATTCTATAATACATACTATGAAACGTACTAGATGGCGCTAAGTGTTTGTACAAAATAAAAATAATATTAATATTGATTTTATGAATACCAACCATATAATGGTTCAAAGTTGATGCTGTAAAAAGTTAGAAATAAAAAAAAATGTTAATTTTGAAACCCGATAATGTATTAAATAAAGAAAAAACTAAACATGTTTTATTTATTACACTTGCGCCATCTATTGGCAGAAATTTAAAATTTGCTGGTTTCTCAATATATGCCACGCCGTTGTGGCGTCGTCCGGAGTTAAAGCCGGGGTAGTGGGGTTCGCTCTGAGGCCCCTACCTGACCAGCCACTATATGGCGATTAAAAAGACCTGGATTGATTGATTCTCAATATATATGTATGCATGTTTTGTATACCAACTATAAAACATTAGTATTATATATCAAAATAAAAGCAATCTTAGAACTAGTCTGTATTGGTGTATATGAATCGAATATTATTTTAATTATCGTGATTTTTTTATAATGGAACCCTAGATAAATGTCTATATTGTTCATAAATCACTTGTTCAGATGTATTAATCACGTATAAAACTCGTAAAGTATTATTAGCGCGTATATTCTATTATATTAGAATACTCTATAACTTTTTAATAATTTGTGTACTTTAAATGTATTCTCTGACTTGCTACAATTATTATAATCTTATGGCTTTTTAAAATTAAATTTCCAATTCATGTTATACTTCAATTATTTAATTCTCAGGTCTTTTCTAAATGTGTATATCTTTATATATGCTGAGTACAAGCAAATATTTAATTACCTATTTTTAAGTGTTAAATATTTAATGTAATAAGTGTATCATGTGTAAAACATAGTCGCTAATTTAAGTGTAATCTAGTAATTGCTGAAAAGGCTCTCTTTAGAAACACGAATTTGACATTTATATAAATGAATCATAGTTTAAAATATTTTTCTAAATTTCCGACTGAAAGCAAAATATTATTTTTAAAACTGATGTAAATTTTTTAATGATGTCTGTATATATGTATAACAGGAACAATCGTCGGAAACAACAAATATAGTAAGTTCATAAAATTATATTAATTAATGCAAAATAATTCATAACATGGAGGGTCATTCATATTTTAAAAATTTTTTATGTACTTTTTTTGTCCCCCATGTCCACATAACTGTAAAAAAAAAAAAACTAAAATTTAAAGCTACCATTGTAGGTGGATTCCAGTATTAAAGTAATTTGCACATATCTATACAGCAATGAGACCATAAATTAATATATCAAACAACTGTCTTGTAAGACCACACTTCCATCAATGTAGATATTGTACTAAATAGTGCCTTTATCAACTCTAGCATTGGTACAATAAATTATTTTCGGTGCTTGTATGAACAGAAACTCATACATTTTATTGTTTTTATTATTAAGTAGTTCCGCGCAAAAAGATACATATATAACCTTAATACTTTTTCGTAGACAATTCTAGATATTTTTTCATCTAATAAACTCTATTTTTTTTTTTTATTAAGACAACCAAAGCAAGCTGTACAATAGTAATTAGAATAAAAACAGTCAGTAAAACAATTTCTAGATAAACCAGTTTTTTATGAATTGTAAGGAACTCTACAATCTCGTGAAACTTAAGATTTTGTGTTTATAGTCTAACCATACACATATGTATATGCTGACGACTATAATACGTAATTGGGTAGTTAGAAGTATTTGTCTATAGTTGCCGTTGTAGTGACTGAAATACTCAACATGCCGAAATTTCAGATTAATTTGATTAATTAACATGATGATTGCTATCAACTAATAAATCGTTAGATCTTGATCTTGCCGTAGTAAAATAGTATGAATTCTAAATATAAGTAAACAATATAGTGAATTTTCATTCTAACATTTGATTTAAATATATTTTTTAGCAACTCTTTTTATATATTTTACGGTTTTATGAAATACACTCGATCCAATAAAGTTAATGCACAAAATGTTGTTTGAAAATTTAGATACTTCCATCTATTTTTATATAACAAAATTATATATTTTAATATTTGTTCCATGTAGTGTGCAATAATAAAAAATATAATGCTTTTATTATATTACGCTTTTTTATTTCACTCCCAATAGTCTAAAATGTTCATTATGATATGAAAATAGTATTGGCATCCCATTTTTATCTTGTAAAAATCATAGCTGTATAGATTTTTTTTAATCGGTGAAAATGTTGGTAATACCTGCGCTATCGGTATATTCTGGCGGAACACCAGTGAGAGATGATGGATGAGAATGAAAGCAGGTCAGTAGGCCCATCGTAACGAGTTCAACAATATCCCCGAAGGTTTCTAGAATCGCGTGGAAGTCAATTTGATACTATCAATCCCTTTCCCCCACATATATACGAAATAAAATCATGAGCTGATTCTCACGTACGCAAGGGAAGACCAGGCAATTGAACAAATAGGTAAAAAAACATAAGTATGTTATACTAAATCAGTGGATTAAACCTACAGAAGGAGAATCGTATCTAAAATATTATAAAGGCAAAATGGGGTTTTGTTACAAAAATTTCTACAACGCAATTATATTAAGTGTAAATATATATTTATTTCTCTCACAAGATAACAACAATAAAATTTACAGCTATATAGGTTACAATTTAAAACAATCTTTGTGAGGGACTGGTGTCGGTACTAGGATAACCCATCTTACAGATCACCAGGCTCCAAACTCAAAGACATCTATTTTACTTGATTTGTGAAGGTAAGAGTATACAAGTTAATAAATGACATTAGAAAAAATTTATAATCTACTTGTATGTACTACTTTTGGTGAGAGGATAAGTGAAAGGCGAACGAGTGCGTGTGAGTAGGTGCACGAATGCGTATGTGAGTGCTTGTGCGTGTGTTTATATATACATGATCTAGTTATTTTATCACCACAATAAAATTTTCAGTCTCCATATAAGTCAATTTTGCAGCCAATTAATTACAATATTTTTTTTCATCTATGATTTGCGTACATATATTAAAAATGTAACAGTTGTCAGCAATTCAGATTTACTCGCCTCTTATAATAAATGTATACGATGAAAACCAGCGTCGTGATATGCTAACTTCAGATAAAGCTGAGACAATATTTTGTCTATTTATCTAGTACATTTTTGTAAGCTGATGTAAAGCAATACATTTCTGTTTATTTATGTATTTATCTATTGATTTTATTTAATTGAGATTTTTTGGGGCAGTTTATTAAGAAAATCAAGTATTTTTACATATATTAATATATTCTTATTTACAAATTTTAACTTATTTATATACATGCTATTTTCTAATTTAATTCTTCTATTTTCAGTGGTCCTTTTTCTTCTATTAGAGCTTGATGATACCTTGTCAGATCGTCATTCTTTATTTTAGCTGATTTCTCTAATGCTTGGTTATATTGATCCTCTCTACAAAAAGAAAGTATTATTTCACATTATACTAAATTTCAGTAATTACGAGCTAGATAAAATTAAATAAAAAAAAAGAAAACTGAAATTTAGCAAGCACCATATTTGTCCTAAAGAAAATTTCAAAACAATTGTCGGAAACCAGAAACAAAAAGTTCATTTAATATCTGCTGTCCAGTTACATAAAGACTCTCATTTTTAATTTTAATCATTACTAAAATTTATCAAAATCTAATACAAGTAGCTATTATAGCCCAAAAGTTGTATAAGCCCCTACCATTATCTATTCAGGATAAGAAAAGACTATACCTGCATCATACAGTATTATTTAGAATTCCTACAATAATTATTAGTTTTCAAATACAGAATTGTATACACACCTGGCTTCTTTAATTTTATGCAACGACTTTCGAATATCATCCATTGTGATGCCAGTAAGCTTTAATAGAATTGCTATGACTGAACCCGCTACTAAACCTAAAATTGAACCTGAAAACCGAAGCATGTTATCAACAAGTAGTTCACAGCATAATTATAAATAAAAAATATGATATAACCAGATCAGGAAAGTCACAAACAAATCTATAAATATCTATTTTTTGGTCACCGCATGCATATGATGGAACGAAAAAACATCTTACGAATTCATACACATCAGATGAGAAAGAATAAGCATTGAAATTAATTATTGCTGAATTCATCACAATAGGCCAACTGAGCTGCTTCATTCTCAATATGCCCTGCCAATATACTGATATAGGTCACTATTTCGTTTTTACCCATTAAAAAAATACAACTATGGAGATTATTATATTATACATGTTTTTTTTTTGTTGGATGAAAATGGTATGGTAACCCCGCCTGCGCTAATATAGCACCAGTGAAGGGTGATCGATGAGAATGAAAACAGGCCAGTTAGCCTATTGATGAATTCATCATTTTAGCCTATCATGATGAATTCATCATGAAGAATTAATCATGACAGTTTCCAGAGGGAACCGCGTGGAGGTCGACCTGGTTAGGTATATTGCTAGCAATGGGATTTTTAGTCTCCATTACTAACAATCCCTTTCCCCCTATTATACATGTTGTATTAACCTAAATGAATATTTATAAAAATTATCAAAACATACCTAAGCCTGCGCCAACAAAAGTAGCCGCTAACCCTAGATTAACTTTATATAATCCTCCAGAAATTGCACCAGCCATTACATACTCCAGCACTGACGTATCATTTCTATATACCGATACTGTAGTCGCTACCAAACTGAAAAATAAAGTAGTATTTACATATAGGTTGTAAGGAAGAATTAAGGACCTGTTAAGTCCCACTACTGGTCATAGGTTTTTCCACATCTAGTGCCATGTTGGCCTGGAGAATTGATATAGGATTTTATTTAGATTTTCCTCTCACATTATTGTGAGAATAACTTTGATTTCTTAGTCATCTCTTATGACATCTATAATAATAGAAAATTTAGGCAAAATAACATACATAATGCATACATAAGCATAATGCATTCAGGCATGCTTATTTACATATAATAATAAATGCCACTTAATCACAACTGCCAATCATTGCCTGACCCTCAAGTTAGCTAATATTATACAGGACAGTGTGTAATATAAATTTTGAAAATTAATGTATATGTTACTACAAAAGCCCATACATATATTGGTAAATCTTGGATTTTACCAAAAATTCATAAGATTTACCAACTTGAGATGGTAAATGTAAAGATTTTATAAAAAAAAATCAACCAAACCAAACCTACTTTTCTGTCTACAAGTATGAATATACACTAAACATGTAAGATTTACCAATGTACAGGCTCTTATAATCACATATAATATATATTTTTAATACACTAATATATAGATTACATAAACATTACCTAAATATTCCTGTGAAGATACCTAATCTCCATCCCCAATGGTATGCGCCTTTTGCAAATGCTACAGTTACATAGTCTTGCAGCTTTTTCTGTAACCATCAAGAATAAATATGCTAACAATATGCCCTCTCTGCTCTGTCAGATTATACTGATACTGCAGGTAGGGTTACCACATTATGATTATAATCCTTTAAAAGAAAAGATATACCTGTCATTCTGACTTATTATCCTTAGCTAATGCCTCGCCACCATATACAGATATGGGTGGGGTTACCATTCCAATTTTATCCCATTGGCCTTTGGTCATACTGGTTCACTGTTTATAAATTCATCTTGATGGGACAAATGACCTACTTTTATTATCAACACATTCCCTCACAGATATCCAGCCAGGATAAATCAATAGCATTAGTAATTCATGTAATTGGAATGGCAGCTCCATTTCATTTACATGAATTAAAAGAACTACTACATATCATTGATCATATTTTGTTTTTAACACAAAAATTTTATATACAAATATAGAAAAAATAAAAACATTGATATATTAAAAAAGAAATGCAAAAGCCTATATATATAGTCATATTAAAAGTTCAAGTTTTGATCTAATAATTAAATTAATACCTTAGCTTGCATAGTTGATTTAAAAATAGTTGCTTGGTTGTTCTCAATGAAGTATACATATGCCTGTCTGGAACTAGTAAATCCACCCATGCAAGCACCGACAAATGCACCACAGAGGGATGCCTGAGCAACTGTATGTAATTCAGGGGAAATTTCATCAAATTCACTGAAACAGATATTTTCAAAATTCTGATTATAACAGCTGATAACCTCTGTACCTCATACTTCTTAAAAATAAACATTGCAGTGTTCATAGTGCTGTTTGTCTATAAGTGACGAATGCCACTTTTCATTATATGGACTAATATGTTTAATATATATCTTAATTTAAAATAAAACAGAAACTTACTTTTTTCTATACATTTTCTTTACTCTCTCCCATCCAGTTTGTGGCACTGCAGGTACAGGTAAATCCAGCATATTATAATCATTTTCATTTTTTCGATCAAAGAATGGAAGAATTAATGTGGGAGTCAAACGAACCACTGTTCTTAACATTGTGAAGTCCAAAATACGAATGCTACAAAATATAAATACTATAGAATTAATAATATAGAAAAACTATAAAATTGTCAATAAGAAAAACTATAGGAATATCCACCAACCACTATAACAATAAATATTACGTATGTTTATAATTGGATACGCAAATATAATTTTATATTTTAATTCAAATTACAAGCATTATAATTATAAAACAAGTATAACCGTATTGTCAAAAATAAAATAAAAAATCAGGGTTGCTAGAGGCTAAATTTTATTTTTACCAAAACGATTTTCCGAACTTTATCCCAATCACAACTTGTATTGTTTTTCACTAAGTATGTTTTACCATCATCATCATCTTGCTACCCTTATCTCAATTATTATTTGAGGTCGGTTTTAATATGGTTTTAAATGATTTGATTTATAGTTTTACAATCAGCCGCCTGCCTTGCGTCAATCCTCTTTGGGACGTATGTTTTACCATGTGCAACAAAATTAACGAATGGAAGAAGAAAAGTGGTTCTTTCTGTTTCTATTTTTTCTTTTTTCTTATCTTTTATTATGTATCTTCATATATTATATTTTTCTTTATTATTTACTTTCATAGACAATTACTAAAATTATTACCGAGATTTTTCAAAAATATCCAAAATCCTCTAAGCCCATTTCACTTTTATCCAAGATTTTATTTTCCCAAAATTACGCGATCAAAAAATTTTAACCCAAAAATGCGTAAAAAATACAAATTATGGCAATACTGATACAAAAAATTGACATTGACATTTGACAAACAGAGCAAGTGTCGCACTCAATACATTAATGAAATAGTAAATTAAATTCATGCAACTCATATTACATCTACATATATCAAATATTCGAATAGCGTTGTATAACTATTAATAATATACTTTTTTCAAAATATTGTTATTCATCAGCATTATTATAATATAATCAGCATTATAAAAAATATAAAATCAAGTTGAATTAACTAATTTCGTAATTTTTATACAAAATTTTTATTCGAAAAAACCGCGAACCTCTTGAGATCTTTTTTTTAGTACGTTTGTTCCGTTGTGAAATAGGCTAAGATCGGAGACCATGCTGCCTAGTTTTCAATATGATAATTTGTGTGGAATCTGTTGAAATTAGTCGAATTTACATTTACCATAGAAATAGAAATCCAAAGGTATTATCCTTAGTCTATGACATCAACCTATTTACTGCCCAAGAGATTCGATTCTGAAGCGCCATTTCTAAACCTGTGCCTTAACATTTTATTTTAGTAGTTTTATAACATTGCTGTTTCATAGATTATAACAAACTTAATATATAATTATTATTAATATATATAAACTTAATATATTTATTATTTAAATATATTAGAAATTTATTTCATTTTAGTTCTTGAAATAAAGAGATAATCTGTAGGTACCAATTTAAAGCAAATGTGAATAAACTATACGTAAGCCCGCAAGCTTCGCTTTAGACCACATCATCTCTATTTATCAAGTGAGATTGTGATTAATCGTGTACCATTTAACAGTAAAAAAAATAAGATTTTGCTGTGATTTCAAACTGAAATTTTTATTTTAAAATAAGGCTTAGAGAAATGGTGCCTCAGAATAGTCTAACTAATGTAATTTTTAATGATTATTAAATAGGAAATGACTAAAGTTAGTTAAAACAGAAATAAAATTAAACACAGAAATGATTATAAGTCATTAATTTTTTTTATTTTCAATTTATATTGTTTCATCTATCAATTTTTTTAAAATACATGAAAATGTAAAATAGGCCCAGTTTTTTATTCATAAATACAACATTATGTCACGCGTACAGCGCTGCGTCTCGGGTCGCTACTTTCATGAAAAGGACTATAGATGCTGATCTAAGTTCCGATATTTCGATTAAATATGTTCTCTAAATGGTGCATTACCGAATTTAATTCTTATCTATAGCTTGAGCGATGAATGCAATATTATTATTATTGAATTCGTAGGAGTGTCACTTCTATCTTGTTTTTTTTTATGCTACTTTATAGTCTAAGCTAAAAAAATTCTATATGACAATCATAGATTAAGGATAGGTACTTACACCTACTTATTTGAATCATTATAGTAATAACACTTTTTAAAAGCAGCGCGACCTATATATATATATATATATATATATATATATATATATATATATATATATAATATACTTTTTTTAGGTTTGTTTTGTAAACAACAGAGTATGGCAGAATAGGTATATTTTCATCTGTTACAATAAAGTAATAATAAATATAATATTATAATAAACATCAATTAATTTTTTAAATAACCATCCTAGTCGCAAGTGATTACTTGATCGGTAAATCTATGTTTACATATACCTTAGTATTTATGTTATAATACATCAATAGTTTATACACTTGTTGCTCTTTCCCACTCGTACAATAATGTACATAACCACGTACTTGAATAGTTTCATTCTAGATAGTACCTATGCTGCTCAGCTAGGCTCAGCCGTAACTATAATGGCATTATTAATTTGGATTTTGATGGCAAAAATATATTTGATTAATTCCTGAAGTAGATGCAAAGTTTATAATATAGATTAATATGCAACGTATTTTATGATTGTCGTTTTAGGTTGTTAGCAGAGCACATTTATATAAACAATCACAAACATTAAAAATATTCAATCGTTTGTGAAAACTGACAGATAATTGCGATATTGCCACAGTTCAATAAGATAAAGTTACAAACATTATTATGAACCTTAGTACGTTGTACTTTGTTATGGATGTTTTAAAAAAGTTGTATACCCATAATACGTAGATTATATTATATAATAAATAGATTTGTTTTAGAATAAATAGATTCGTTTGCAACTTGTATATTAATTTTGTTATGTAATATTTTTATTAATAATTATTATATTAGGATTATCGATGGTAGAGTAAAATAAAAATGCGATTTTCAACTATATTTTATTATAAAATGACAAAGAATAAATCTAGAGTTCAATAGGGTAGTCACTTAGATGATAATATTGTGTATATAATATTTTATAATTTATATGACTGCTGTAGATATAGTGTGCTTTTGGTAACCAACGATAGCTCATTGGTATACAAAAAATTAGTTCCACCGACATGAAAATACATTTTTATTGAAACACGCCTGTTAAAGCTTAATATTTTAGTTATCAGTAAGTAGGTATGATTTTCTTTAAGAGCAAGATTTAGATTGAAAGGAAAAATATTAGATCCCTGTTTAATATATCCCAATGATTGGTCTTTGGCATATTGATTCAATAATACTAAAAATATTGACATTTTCGAATCGTATTAGCAAATTCACTATATGATAGCAACAAATTAGATGTGCCTTTATTAATTAAATGATGAGATAACGTTAAGTTACTCAAACGATCGTTTAAATCTATAATCTATTTTAACTTTACACACAACCCTTTAATTTGCACACCATTATTTAATTTTTTTAGTGAACAATTAAAACAATAGGTAGGTACAACAAAATATGGAGGAACAAATAAGGAAGGTGGGTATCCTCAATAATACTCCCTAGGAAGATTCACTTCATTAAGTTAGGTATTAATTAACTAGAGCGACTACTGAAATTAGGATAGGTTATTTTAACTATTAAACCTTAAAGTAATGATTATGTTAATCTTTTCTATAGATACTATTAATTTAATTTGTAATTATTAACATAGTCGTGTATAATATTTACATCCGCTGTTTATTTTAACACGAGGAATAACTGCCATTTTATAGGACTAATCTATGGATATTTAGCTTGCATCAATTTTTAGTGTTCCTGTGATTTTTATTTATTTATTAAAATTTGGTGTACACCAAATTGATCAGCCTATCAATTGGCAGTTAGACGTAAATCTTTTGCTAATTCACCGCTTCGATACGGAATGGTTCAGTTCTTTCCACGCAACAGGAATAAGGGACGTGGCACGGACATAAAATAACCGCCCCGACCTTTCGAATGTCGAGAGCAGTGTTTAAATTTATTCACATTATACCCTGTGCGAAATATATTCCACTTGATAATATTATATAAAATATATCATTGGCAATATTTAAAGTCCCTTACTCCCTTTACAATTCAACTAAACAACAATTGCAATTTGTCTAAATTCATGCTCGAGTCAGTTGACTTCGGAAACTAGACGAAAATGAAGTCATTTGCTCATAGATTGTATACTATCTCGAAGCGCAATAGATATATAGGTACAATGTTAAAATATAGTCGTGTAGATATTTACGTCAGGATAGTTTAGATCTATAAGTACGAATATGTCTAGAATACCAATTGTGTACTAACGTACATCATTTCTTTATATTGATCCCCTTTAAAATTTATAAGTTTTATTTACAAATACATTATAATCTCTTCGAGTATTTCAATATGATTGGATAAAATTAAAATGTAGGTGATTTTATAAATACAATATAAAATAAAAGTATATGATGAATCAGAATGTAAATAAAGTAATAAATTATATTATGATATCACCGAACCGCTGTCGTACTTTAGACAATTGGTATCAAGTTTAATAGAAAAAAAAGGGAACATAGGTAGAAAGGAAAGGTGAAAAAATAAAGAACAAAAAGGCATTAATGATAATAATAGTTTAATTATAATGAAATTAAAATAAGAATGAAATTAAACACACAAAAGGCTTAATATTAAAATAAGAAAATAGGATGACGACATTTTAAAACATTTTTAAAAACACAATGACATATAGAAAATAACCGCCTTTGCGATAATAAAAGGAGACAACATTTACAAACGGAATTCAAGGATATAAAAGTTTTATGATACATGCGCCTTAGCCAAATCTCTATGTATTGATATGTTGGCCTTTATGCATATTTTTGTGAAATACTAAATACCAAGTACAGCTAATATAAGAGATAAATATAAAGCGCAATAAAAAAAGCATATACAGAATGATATGCAGAGATATGTTTTATGTGAAACGCAAGGGAGACGATGGGAACTAGCCGACTGTCGATTGTCGACGCACATACATACAAAGGTATCGCGTCAGCGCAGTACTTAGCGATCGATTCATGAAGACATTCGAAAACAACTCTCACAACTTTTTAACGCATAACTTTAACTAACAAATTGAAACAATGTTCACTTACAATGAATAAAATTGCATATATTGCGCTTAATAAAACTCTCAAATATAATTTAACTGTAACATTTTCATCAACTTTTCAATAAATGTTAAGATTACCTCAATTACCTTTTACCTAAAATAATGTGTATTGACTTTAAATTTGGCATCTCATCCTAAACACTGATCTATTTATTATTTTTAATAGTATATTACCATTATTATCTAAATATTTAAAATACTTCTCTAAACACATAAATCCCTATAATTATCTATTAGTCAATACCAATGTTACTGAGAAATAATTTAGGCCTGGAAACGTTACACACATTTGCTGTCCCACTCTGTCTTGAGCATTAAGCACTTGAATCGTTGAGACAATATTACAGTGACGCACTACTAGAGCACGTCGGCATGTGTGTAGCGTCCTACGCTGAATACAGTGGATATGTAATCTCCTCTTTGTGATTTCCATTTAATTAAATACGTAATAATAATTTAAAATTACAAATGCGATGCCGTTCTCACCGCACACAAACCGCCACCAATCGCGAACCACTTTTCACATCATTTCAAAATACAGGCACAGAATCCTGCACCTTATTAGAAAAACATTTTCAAAAACGTGCAAAATATCACCACACCCTGGTCACCTAACATTATCTAAACCAAATAACTACTTTTTATGTCCTTATAGTAATGTAGGTACTGATTAATACAATTTGTATGATAATTTTTCTATTCTTACATCGTAATGACATTCTATCTTTTTTTTTTCAGTTTTAATCGTCTTATTAAGCTCTATATTTTATTTATATACGGTACGTGATGTATAATATACATTAAAATAGTGTAAATATGTGATTTTTTTTAATGACTTCAAATTGATTTTTAAGAGGAAATGAAATTATATGTTTTTAACCAGTTTTTAGTATATCGGCTATGTTTGATAAAACGAACGAATGAAATCTGTTATACAGTGTTCATTTCATCAATTTTCTTATCTAAGGTTTGTGCCACATTATGCGCTATATTCTTTCCCCCCGTTAAACAACCCTCGTATTCTCTTTCATACCTTACTGTAGTACCAACAGTGGCATTGTCAAGATATGTATGTATTGTAATGACTTAATACTTTAAAACTTACATAGTAATATTAATGTTCATTCTATATTGATTTTTCTTACTTGACGTATTTAGAAAACAACTTGTATAATAAATAATACTATATAATTAATAAATTGCTAAAATAATAATATTTTATTTGACAAAGAAGTTATTAAAATCGTGATAAAATCTAAATATATCGGGACGACACAGGAGTAAATCTTACGGAATGAAATATAAAATAAAATAAAAACTATGCATTATTGGCGAAGAAAAATATAGCCGAAAACAATCAAGAGATTTAAATATATGCTCGTTTATAAAGTCGCGTAAAAAGATTTTTGTGTTAATTTATTATTATTAATCATATACAATTTTTAAAAGGTACGCCATAATTGTTCACTAAACAGGCCAGGTAAGAAAAAACATTATAGATACAATGATTGTAAAATGATTACATTGGATATCGCTTGCGAATGGCCATTGTTTTCCTAATTCGTCATAATTCAGGTATCTGTTTCACGCATGCTTTGCCTAATCACATAAACTGGACGTGTGAACTGAACACTTAAAACTGGTCCTAGCAGTTAGAGCATAGATTTCCTTGGAGATTCCCTCTAAGACCAACTTTATATTACAATAAATAACATTCTCTTACAAAAGCTTTTCCTACCAGAGTTTAAAAATTTGAGACGAATTACAAGATATTTTTTTCTCATAAAGTAAAATCTTAACCCACAAACTTAATCTCTTTTGCATTGGACTAGACGCATTTTTAATTAATTTAAGAAGGCAAAGATGTGTGAAATCCAATCTAGAACTCAGATAGTCCAAGGAAGCGTGAAAAACTTAATAAACAGACGTAGAAAAGTGGCACTTTTTTAAACAATTTCATTCATATATGTTTATATATTCAGTTTTTAAAATAAAAAATAAATCTTGCCATTTTCATTATTATTAAATATATAATATTTTTAAAAACAATAAAATTAATGCCTTTTGCAATTCATAGTTTTAATCATGTTCTAGATTTAAACAATTTAATAAGATAAATTTTATATAAGGAACCACTTGACTAACGACTGCATATTAAGGTCAACGAAGTCGGAGTGTGTCTATATACAAAATGAAGTGTGTATTGGAGAGTTATTACGTTAACTAAAATACTGTTTCATAACGTAGTTATTGTGACCTAGTGTAAATAAATACTGCTGATTACATACGTGATAGAGCACATCAGATCTCTCTAATACTTTAAATTGCCGCCGCAACTCCGATGGCTACAGTGTGGATACATCCTAATAATATACTGAAAATTATTCTAAAAAATACGTCATCGCGATATTACCCACACTGCGCGACCATAGCTTCCGACCAGAGGCTAAATAAATAATTATCTATAATTAACTGCTTAGTGAAATGTATGCACGAGCATTTATAGTATGTTGTAGCTACTATTTATTATTAATATAAATTAACACCGAAATAAATGCATCATGTCACTATTATGTCACCGAACATAACGTTTAAACAGTGATATATAATCTAGATGCTTAGCAATAGAGTTGTGATTACACTAACTAATAGTCAAGAAGCACTGAAACTAAATAGACAATATTCACCTAAACAATGAAACGAGTTGGAAGCATGCAAGAACTAAAATATATTATTTAAAATTATTTCTAAAACTAATATTGCACACACATACACATTTCTAAACGTAACATTCCAGTAATAATAAAATAAGAGAAAAATGTGTATGCGTACAAAACTATATGATATAATAATTACTTATAAAAATGCTAATATAGTAAATTGTGCATGTTAAAATAGAGAATAAAATATATTTATAAAATATAATTTTAGAGTAATAACTGCAAATTATATGTGAAGTAGAAACATTTTTCAACAATTTAATTATAATAGTGATGAATATAAAATTTATGGTGGCATTCAAAGTCAGTCATACAAATAACCACAAATAACCGAGGCAATGTTTAACATTGCAATCAACTTTGCCAAATGTAAACAAACCTAGCGCAATCTAATTGCAGTGCTGACAAATTTCATAATAATTATATTGTAATTACTGGAAATAATTGCAAGTACATAAAAAAATAAAATTATGTTAATATAGATAATGTATGGAATGAATATCACACAATAAAAAAAGATCCTCTCAAATGCAACAGTATAGTCGCGTTCATTAAATATAACGCTATTTAGCTGCCGTACTTACAATGTGATGATGATAGTATCTTAGATTATGATGTACAAGTAACAGTAGAACGATCGTATTAAGAAAATAGAGTAGCACTTAATTCCTATACTGTTCCGAGTAAGCGTAATACAGATATATTTAAATTTTCAGTCGAGCAAAATTCTCGATTCTGTGAGAGGTACAGAAGTATTGTCAACGCGTCAATGTGTGTGTTCACTGACAGTCAAGTGTGTGCCGATAAGTCACTATTAGAATTACAGCCGAAGTGAGACAAGGCATTGTTTCTTGAGGCCATGACAAGCAGAAGTTTGAGTCTGCGTGGACGCGTGACAACAGTGTGATATTCCGAAGACGCTGCAACGTGGTCGATCCGTTTAGATACTAGATTTGGAGAAAGACACTCTTAGGTGGTTCGACTCTGACAATTGGTAATTGTGCATTTTGATAAGCGCCGCGACTGCGTCGTCGATTGATGGGAGCTGCACCAATGCCATTTTGCGGTCCTTCCTGGAATTGAAAAATAATCAAATTTTATTTCCACTGATCTTCTTTTCGTTATTCCAGACAATGGGTACGAATTTAGTATTATTCCTTAAACTTATATACTGGTGAAAATAAAATGTTTAATTTATAAGAAATTGTCAAATTCAAAATTTTAATTAAAATTAAATTCAAATATGATATTTGTTCAAGATTGGTTTTCTCTTAAATGTATTAATATTAGATAACAATTTTTCAGAATCTGCTCCAGTAAATATTTCTAGAAATACGAAAGAAAGTTTCAATCCATTTTATATACAGCGATTAGGTACTATCTGACTTTTGTAACCTAAAGCCAGACCATTACTTTCTTTAACGACTGTTGCCTATTATATAAGTCTTTCGAAACTATGAAATATTTCTTTATTCTCAAGACAACTAGTTAGTCCGTTAGAAGATTTAAAAGTCAAATCGCTAAAGGCTTCTAATTTTTTTTTATAGAAACTAGAGGCTTTCATATATTATTATAATATGACCATTTATGTATTGATTTAATCAATTGGGATATCCATTATTTTTACTACTAGCTGATTATGTCATGATATGTTTTACTCAAGAATTTTGATAAAAAATATTTGCAAGAGCAAATACGATGACATCAGCCGTTACTGTCCACTGCTGAACATAGGCCTTCTCCTATTAGCGGTACATTTGCCAGTACTTATTACACTTGGCAGGCGGATTGGCAACCAGTTAGCTTTTGGTGATGTTTAAAAAGGGACGCTGCTGCACAGCGCTTGACTATTAAGTTCCCTTAGTCGCCTCTTTCTTCTACGGGAAAGCTCTATTTTTTTTTTTTTTTGATAAAAACAAAAGTTTTAATTTTACCAGGTCGCAATAACCTAATTAAATAAAATTTACTTACGGGAAAAATTTGAACGCCTTAATTGTGAATCCCCGTTTGGTAAACGCATCCTTGATATCATCTTCCGACACGGTTGCTCTGTAAATATAAAATCAAATGACACCATGTTATTTATGAAAAATAGAAATAACTATATAACAGTGAAATATAAGACTTACGGAATGTTCGATAGGTGTAATGTGGCGCTTGGTGGGTAAATATTCTGATAGTTTTTGCTGCCAGGCTTTTTGAATCTGTGAAGCGGGCTCTGAGAATAATCCCTGAAATACAACATCGGTTGATTAGTATAAAGAAAACTCATTAAAAAACTAATCGTGTATTTAATACTTTAAGAGTTCATAACTAGTGTTTTTTGTTTACGTTTAAATATATTTTAAATTACTTCGACTTGAATTTTAATTAATTTTAATCTTATAGAAGATTAATAAAAAAAACTATTTTTTATATTCTTCAAAGTAAACTGTACCTATTTCTTGTATATATAAAATAGTAACATATAAACTAAAAATGTAAAGTTCTATAAATGTGTAAAATATAACGGACTAAAATTTATTGTGGGAATGACGATTACCTAGTAAGTCCCGCGTCCGGTTGTCCCTCTTTAGGTAACTGCACAGTCTGGTGTTTGCTGAGCATAACGCGCATCGCCTTGCCGAACACTCGTAACTTGTCCATGTGTGTCATAGCTGTGGATAAATTTGTATAGAAACATTATCTTTACTACAAGTCTTATAATTAATAGTTAACTAATTAATAATTTTATATAGTTTTAAGTGACAACAAGAAGTAGGAAGTATTTAATTGGCTTATAATAATCTCGATAGGTATGTTATGTGGCATCTACAATTCGGAACTATTTTAATTACTTTCTTCCTAGTTCTATATGAACTTTGCTATGATTCAAGTCGCTATTATTGTGTAAAACAAAATTTTAAAACATTATTACTTTGCCTGGTAGCTTATTTAATATCCACTTGATTTATAATTTGTGTGCCTTAATTATTGCTCAAGAAAATAACAATGCGCGCATTATCAAAAATTATTCTTTTGCGTTAGTATTGTATGTGCTTACAACATGCAATATCAAATGTAAGAGATCTATAATATGATAGATCATTAAGTTATCAATTATTAAAAACATACCCAAATGAGCCTGGTGAGGCTCTGCCATTTGAATCAATGCTGAATCCTTCTTATTGTAGAGGATCTTCACCCGTTGCACATCACCATACACGCCTATACAGAAAGAGACTTTTATTATCTGGTACACCTTAATCTGTTTGATTTATTATATTGTGTATTTAGACATTTGATCTAGATTATAATTCTAGTCTTTACGAATATAATGTATTCATTGTTAGATTCAACCGAACTAAATTGAAACTATTATTTTAAAAAATATCTAGATTAAACATCCTTATTGAATACTTATCATAATAACTGTCATACAACTGGCAGTCTCAAATGTGTATTGTTTCGTAAATCATTTTACAAACGTTATTATGCATTGGACAATACCTAAGTATAACAAAGATACACTCAATTGAGACCACCTGCAATGTTGTCTAAAAATAGAAAATATTCACAGAAAAAACTAAACTAAATTGGCTACAATTAACACTCAAATTTATTCAACAATAATACACAAGATATTTAGTAAAACTGTAATACATAATAATGTCATGAAACGAGATACAGACGGAAATGATACAAGAAGGAATAACAAATTAAAGCTCTAAATTGGTCACGTTAAGCTTTTCATAAATGCTTTAGCGTTAACAGCGAAATCTCTACGGCCGACCGTATTAAGTTATAATATTAAAGAAAATAATTGCTTTAATGTTCACTTTTTTCTGCTATTAATATGATCATAAGCGACAACATTAAGTAGTATTATACCATTGAACCTTTGCATGATAATTTTTATTTTAATCACGTGAAATTTAAATAACTTTATAAATACTTTGTAGCAACAGAAACTTTTTCTAAAATTATATACTACTTATACAAAGAGATGCAAAATAAAACTGGTAACAGTAATATATAGATTAAACAGACGAAAAATAAAATTATAATAAAATAAGACAACACTGGGTAGACAATAGACACTAACTTAGCTACATCTAGGGGTCTGAAACACAAATTGTCAAAAGTTAATAAAGCATTTAGATTTGATAGTGTTATCAAGCGAAGCTTTGACATAACGGATGCTGTTATCAGTACAGAAGTCGAGAATGTTAGGTGACAATTTGTCTTCCAGGCGACAGGGCTCAGGAGCAATATTAATGTTTTAATATAAAATACGGAATGTATGTGCACACGTACCGAAAAGGGTAAAGAGAGCGTCAGGCGTGACCATCTAAAACAATAGGAAAGAGAAAGAGACAGTATTATAAATAGTCGTAAAAGATATCTGACATCATATCTATAAATAAATTAGCAACTTATTTTTAAGGAGTTTAAATAGAATATATAAGTGTAATAAATAGCCTGTAACGCCGTTGATATTAGTGGATGCATTAGTCGATCAAATTGTAGATGAATTTGAAACAATCATCAAACGAAGTCAAATAAAGACGTTACTGACTATTGTGTTAGCTTACTGATTAAATTGGCCAATAAACATTAAACTACGATTTTGGAACATCATAGGGTATTTTCTCTATAATTCATAAGTAATATAAGTATTTTAAGAATATTTATGATTTCATTAGAGTAATCTATGTTCCACAGTATAAGAGATTATTACCGTATTTTAATAATACAGAAGTAATGAGACATAATCTATAAGCATTGTTGATCTTACTTCTGCCTTGATTATATAGAAATTTAGGAAGTGGAAGGGCGGGTAAAGACAACAAAAAGATGTAAAACATAATCCGCCTTTATGTTTCATTTGTAAATTTCGCATAATTGATTACTAACCTCTTCATTTAGATTAGATACAAGGAGTACTGTAGCGAGGGGCAGCGGGGGAGCAGCGAGCGCTCGAAGAGCAGGAGATGCCGGGGTCAGGGTCAATGCTCCAAATGCCGGTAAGCCTACTCCACCGACGCCAACACCATACGGTGAAGCTAGACCTGAGCCAAGTCCCAGGAACTGAGGTGCTAACACTCCACCACCTATAGAAAATTAATAAAATTCAAATTTTGTTACCCGTAATATTATATAATATTTAAATGTTTATGAAACTTACATAAGATTAATTGCTCTATTTAAGGTCTATCATTTTGAAATATATTTCTTTTGCTTTGTATCAACAAAACTCTTCACCAATTTATAAAAATAAGATCCTATTCAGACAGTAGACTTGCAGTAGAACTTAAATTCAGTATCTGATTACATATTATAATTTCCAATGGTGCAATGCAAACTTAAGAGAAGTAATTAGTCACTGTAGGACTATTTAATATAGAATTATGAATAATAAAATAAAAAGAGCTAATGTGGTAAACGTAATAATAAATTATGTGTATTGAACATAGCTCCTATCGTAGAACAAACCACAATTTTATTAACTTTGAAATTTGCAAGACCTAAGTACTTGTAGGTGATACTAACGATACAGCAACATAAATTAATTATAGGCTGTGTAAATTGCATAACCAGGATGAGGTATCAATAACAAAGTTTGTAATGATATAATTAGACCAGAAAATAAAGCACCGGAATTTAATGATCATACGCTACACAAACTTTGATTTAAGTTATGCAAAACTCAATGTTATAAGGTCGATAAGAAGAAATTCTCATACATCATAATTCAATCAAACTTGTGAAAGCGAAGGGCGAGATCTTGCTCAGAATCAAATGCATATTAAGAGTTTATCGGAGACTTTTGTAAAAAAAACTAAAACTACGATATAAATGTGTGAACAGACGAGGAGCGGTGAAACAAGCGTCCAGGTGCCCAGAGTAGTAGAGGACTAACTCATCCTGGATGCGAGGGCCAAGGCGAGGCGTGCCCGCAGTGGCATCAACTCACTGGTCAACAGTTGATGGGCGTCGCTGTCACCCGAAGGCAGCGTCGGATTGGTGTAGTCCCGGGACTTATCATTGTTGTATTTCACATTAAGGCAGGTCATCTTTGAGTAGTCGATGCGGAGTGTGCAGCAACCGTTGTAGATGTTCTGTCCATCCAAAGCCTGTGAACAAACAGTATAAAATTTATTATATCGCTTTTATAAGTTAATACCGTATGTTCTATCATATATCGCATTGAGTTATATATTACAGTTAAATACAGTAATAGTTTTGAGCTGTTATTAATAATATGATAAATGATAGGGGCCGGTAGCCACGTGTATTCTTATTGTAAGTACAATGTATGCTTGTTGTACAATACGAGTACCTCATGAATTTACGTTTACTACAACAGACTTTTGTTGACACAAAATACGTAGGTAATCTTGCTTGAATCAATATTTATTGAATTACTGCCATTGGAATTTTATTTATTTTAATTTAATGAAATTAAATTAGAAATGTACTCAGCTCTAACAGGCGTGTGCCAAATTTTATTCAAATACGTTCCATCCATTTAAATGTCTTTAAGCTTTTTGTTTTTTTTTTTTATTTATAATCTTAAACACTTTCTGAATATCTACTATTAAATGGTAATATAGTATAAATATACATATAAATATATCGGTTAACAAAGTTAATAAACTTCTTATAGAATGGAAGATAAAAGGTGTAACGTTCGAGTCAAAATCGTTATATCCAGAGCGCAACAGCTATTTGTTTGTCCGCGTGGCCTGCGGGCGACTGATAACACCGCATCACGATAGAAAAGAGAATTAATTAAAATGCAACAGCACTCAACCCATTCTACGAGCTTTATGGTCCTAGCTTGCCAGCGAGTACACAATATTTTTACAATGAATGTAAAGTAATGCATTCATCTTATATTTGCTGAAACTACATGTTTTTAAATAATACTATTAATATTACTAATTTTTATCTAATGAAATTTTTTATAGCATTGTAATTTATAAATTATTTTGATATCTTATTCCATTAACAAAACAAAACTGACAAGGAGTATTAACCAGTGATTAATATCTTTATTTTCAAATAATTTTAAAGGTTTCAATATTGAAATCTTCCTTCGATGACCTTTCGTCAGAACCGTCAACTTTCATCGCCTGCGGCTATTCCTTTAAATCGGAATTATTAATTCAACTAATTAACAGTGTTTTCTTATCTTTAAGAAGTATCTCTTGGTTCTATGTCTACTATCATAGTTAAATATTATTTTATGTCTAAATTAGTATTGAAACAAAAATGTATCTTGATTTATAAACTATAAATATTGTTTTATAAAAATAGGTAGATTTTTTATTATTTTAGAAATAATGTACAATATTAGATTATAAAAGTGGTACAATAAGAATAGAAAAAGTGAAAAGCTTTTTGGTAAAATGAAAATTAAAAAGAATGAATTATTTAAATCCTGGTGAGTAAATTAAAGATCGTTTGTTAGCTTTTTCTGTCACAAAAAATACAACATCTTCGGACAGCACCCATTAGCCAGAGTGAAAATGTTTTGGAATTATCTTTTTACAGCGCTGACTCAAAATAATTATATATATATATATATATATATATATATATATATATATATATATATATATATATATATATATATATATATATATATATATATATATATATATATATATATATATATATATATATATATATATATATATATATATATATATATATAAACTTATTACTAAACAGTATCAGATTTTGGGTGGAACAATCGAACTAAAATATATAAACCTACTAAAAGAAATTGTTTGAATAGCTTCAGTAGATGTGGGTTACCTTAAAGCAAATAGCTCTTTTACAATCCAATAAAAATATCAGAGACGCAACCAAGACGCAAAAGTTCGATGTCGGAACGCTGGATATTGGCTGTAGATTTAATAAATTTCTGTTCTATATGCAAATGCGACCCCCTGATGTGTAGACGTGAATAGATTGGCTCGTTTAAAGCTCAACTTATATGGAAATGCGAAAGGCACGTAAGAAAGCGTGGAAGAAGATCGCTTCGATACGTAATTAGTTTTATAGAGCCTCGCGACTCGAATTCGATTTCGTCAATGAATGCCGAATGCATGCGAAAGCGTAAGCGAACGTAACGAGTAATTAATTTACAATTCTAATGAGTATGTATTTCCAAAATTGCATAATACCTTGTATATTTTTAAAAGTCAAATGAGAGCATAATTGCTTAGGCTGTTATAACATAGCATGATTATAACGTGAATTAGTATAATCAAGTTTAATAATAACAATTTCAATGTACGTAATTAATATTAATCCACAAGAGGAAATACTAGAAACATTTTACTCAAAATTAGATATAAATGTCTTTCATAAGAACGTTTGTCGCGGACTCAAAGAAAAGAATAAAAAATATAAGAGGGCAAAGTAGGATTTTGAATTGCAGATTAATTTCTTTACTTTTATAAGCTTTTTCGGAGGCACTTTTGAATTTAAGCCGGTCGTTATTTTAGGAAGTATTAAATTAATCTCTAAATCTTGTACGCATGAAATTGATGTTTATATACATATATGTAATTTATTGTATATCTATTTATATGCGTAAGGTCATAAGGTCATAGGTACATGTAAAATTTACGTGTAATCCGCAAATTATATTCATGAATTAAAATATAGGATTTTTTATTTGGAATGTGTGATCAGAATTATCTATTTTGGAATTTCTAAGAATCCTTACTAATATTATCAAGGTAAAAGTTTGTATATATATACTATTTGGGATGAAGTACGACAGGTTATTTCGGAAAATGAACATCATCACGGTCAGGCTTGCGAAATCACAGCTAAAAGCAAGTTTATAATATTTTATTCTACTATAAATTGGACTATTTGTAAAGATAATAAATTTTAATTCTCTACTTGAATAGGTAGAAACTATATATTCAGGTAAATAAACAACCATCGCAGGGATGCCACGAGATCGTTGAAATACATCAACTCTCTCAGACTTTGACAAGGTCATCCATAAACCTTGGAAGGGGTTAGATTAAATTTACCACTGCGTAGGGAGGTAGCGTTTGTTCAGTTATTAGTTTATCATGCGAGGTATCTGCTAATATTTTTTATATATTAAACATATAAAATTTATAAATAAAAAATAATATACATAAATTAATTAATATTATGTTTTCTTATTTAATAATGTTGCCCAAATATTATTTCCTTACTTATTATAAGAACGATAAAACATTTAAAATAAGTAAATTATTGCCCTAGCTATAAGACCGCCTTTTGTACCTTTATGTACATATCTTAATCTGTTTTTTATGCTAAAATAAGTTGGTGTACCTATAAGAATCAACAAAAACGATAGAATATATTCATACATTTATAGTGTCTATTACACCGGTAACAAAATACGCAACAAAAGATACAAATAAATATATATATTTTGAAGCACTTAATTGTACGTAACGAATTTCCTTCCGCAAGTTTTATGATGCCAGTCTACTCAGTCAGTATCAATATTCTCGAGAATTTTATTTTAATCTTCTGAAACGGTTATTTGCGCTTGCGGAGGGAGTCGTAATTGAGGTAAAAAAATATTAGGAGGAGTGACAAGGTGATAAAACGACAAACGTCACGCCCGATTTGATATTGCGATCTTTTACTACGTAATAGGGGGAGTGAATCGTCGACGCCCAGGAAATGGAATCTTTCGGAGTCTTATTGAACTTATCGGGGAATTGGCTATAATAAGTTTATTGGTGCAAATAACGTTACTTAAACGAGTTAACCAAAGTGAAAGAGAGTGTAAATAGCCCGTCAAAGCGTCGGGACAGTGTCGTCGACATCAACGTAAGATGTAACAAGTGTCCTCCGTATCTCTTAATCACGTCGCCGGTAATTGTTTTATCTTTAGCTCGTTAGAACTCGTTTAAGCAAAGCCTTCTTAGTGAAGGATTAAGTGCGGTCCGTCTTAATCCACCCCCCGCTGCTAATTCTGGCGGTTTTTCCACAGAGACCAGATAAACGTTTTTGTTGGGGGTCCCGCTCTCGGTACGTTTAATATTTATAAGAGCCAGCGAAGCTCAGAGTACGTCTGTTGCTTGCGAGTATTACGCCCGCTAAGGAATGCATTTTGTTATTCATACATCAATGAATACATCAATGAAAAATTTCAACACATGATCGACTTTTATACTTGGAGTATATGTAATATAGTTATTTTTTAATCTTAATAAACTTTTAAATGTTTTTTTACCGTAAGTTATTTTTTTTCTTCTATTAATATCAGATAATTTAACTATATATATTTTTTATTGAATAATATATATATTTATTCAATAATGAGCTTCCTCATAATTTCATAACTTTTAATGACTAGGTAAATATCACGAAAAATCAGACCTATTTATAAAACAACTAGCTTACTTTACTAACTTTTTTTAGCTTTCAACTAGCTACCGCGACTTCGTTTGCGTGACCGGGATTAAAATTAAACCCATATTATTCTCAATCCCATATATACCAAATTTCATAATTATTGATAAAGCTGTTAAGGTGCTATAAGGTAAGTAACAAACAAACACTCACTTTCACATTTATAATATTAGTAAGGATTTCATTTTAATCAGTCAGATCTGATAAAAAAGAGCAAATATTTTAATAGGCGCATAGTTAAATTTATAGATATGCTTTATCAAATAAAGCCACTCCACATATTAATCAATTAAAATATATTTTTCAACTGTGCAGCTGAATATATAAACATATGAATAAAATAAAATCACCAAATGTCACAGTAAATATAAACTCATGTTATGGACGTGCACTTATATTCCCCTCGGTAATTGAGATCAACGTAAAGTAAAAAGCAAATAAGTACTTAACAAATCTGAAAACAATTAACTGGACTTTAACTAGTCCTCGCAATTAGGGTGTGTACACATTTGTGGACGCATCAGCGAACAAACCCTGTTCACTCCATTAGACAATGTAATTAATACTTAGGGTTACCCTAATTGTTGGCGATGGGGTAGCGCCAAGAGTCGAGTGACGATCGCTCAAAAACCTCACCCATCTTTTGCGATATTTGAATTTACTTATGTTACAGTTAATTTATCGA